CCTTGACTGTTTTTATATGAGCGCGCAGGTTTATCTACACTTCTTATCCCACTACTTATCACATATCTGTAACTTATTTTTACGTGACTATAAATATTGATTAACGTTTGGTTGAATGGGAGTTGGCTTACCTACCATCTCTTCTGCGCGTCGTTTCGCTCCGCTCTATTCTATTCGCTTCGTATACAAAATATACGTATTCAAAAATCCATTCTCGTTAATTGACTTATTTAATTCTGTTATTGTCAAACGCAATTTAAGTCGATAATTATATACCAGGACAGGCGATAACAAACATTCATATGATCTACTTGGAGTCAAATCTCAGGCCACTAAAGTGGAGAATCCGTCAACAAACATCGTCCGATCTAAATGAGCTTCAGTCAGTGGGTGAGTACGCAGGGACGACCAAGAGTCAACGACAAATGTCCCTATCCTTTCAGGTGCCTACTGTTCCGTTTAGTCGGACCACGCACAAGCGACCGTCCACTGGGATCCAGTCTAAGAGAGCTAGTTCTGTCCTAGGACTCAATGCTATACCTAATCCAGCGAGGTCACGGGAAGCAGCATCAGGGCTTCCAGATACACGAAGCATGAATCAAGTTGGTTCCTTATTTTGTCATGGCAAGGTCAAATGAATGACGCTATTCCGATCCTGTATGCGCGTTTTGGAGACGCAGCACACATCGATGGAGCGAGATTTTAAAGTCCTAGCTAAGGAAGCCTGTTGTCCTATTTGGCACAGTGTTTGGATGTTGAAAGCTCCTACGTGTAGCTTAGAGCGTGGTTTCAGGAGACCAAAAATAACGTTCCGCGCACTAGAATCGTATGCACTAGTGGGGCGAGGTAATAAAGGGACGTGAGAAGGGTTAGTCGTGGAGATAAGAGAGTTATTAGGAGGTGTAGGAAGGATTTGAATGTGACCAACTTGGTCTCGTGCGCTGTTACAGGTATGAGGGCTGATATCACTTCCTGGCTGCTCATACCGTGGAAGGATGTTTCTTGAATATAAAAAAAGTCGGATCAGTGTTGGTCTTAACAATCTGGGAACGTGGCCGCAGAGCCCAAGGGACAACTGCTTGAGGCCGGTCGCGCGCGGCCTTTTCGTAGGTTTTTAATATGTTAGCTCCGTTCTTTAAAGGGCCTTACCGCCGGAGAAGGAAATCCGTGGGGTAAGGTGAGGTGTGACATTTTTAGGGTCAACCTTTTCTAACCCCTTCCTTCCTTGTGAGAAGACAGCATCGCTGCAGGGAAGCACCTTACTGTTGTCACACCCCTCTACAGTCAGCAGTACGACTTCGCCCTCAGACCTTGAATTGCTTTTAGTCTTACCGTTCTCCAATCAACCTGCCTGGCATGATAGGACCTACAGGAACACATGTTTTAGCCAATATAGCTCGGTTGGGTCATCACGATAGGCAAGCCCGACCACCGCGTCAAGGTAGCAGCTAAGGTCGGGACAAATGATGTATCTTTCTCATTATCAAACATATCAGTTCATCCTTCATTCAATGAAAACATAAGTCTACATGAAAGAGAAAAATACCTCTAATTCATCAGTGTTTGTGTATAGATGTGTATGTATACATGTAACTATACATGTACTTCATTAAACCCAAGGTCGATACTGGATGGTAGAAAAAAAGATACAAGAATAAAGATATAGTTTCTGTATCTGTAACGAAATCAAGACATTTTCAACAAGACATCAATACAGATTAAATGTATCCAATATCTACTAAGAATTTCCAGAATTGAAGGAAGTGCCAAAGAAATGTGAATTTATCTCATATGTCATATATTACTTAAACAGTAGTTTTTTACTACTAAAACTATCCTTTTTGTATAGATTATAATGAAATAATGCTTCTTTTTTTAGAAAATAAAATCGATGTGTAAAATATAGATTACTGTATGTATCCAAATTCCTTAGAAATATACTCAATCAACATTTTCTTGTAGGCAGTGTAAACGTATTTAACTTCGCCTGGAGCCCCTCTGGAACTACTGCCGGTCCCAAACCTGGATAAAGGAGGAGGGTTGGTCATGGGGTTAGTGACCACATCCCGTAGAAAACTAACTCGTTAAACAAACGTCAACTATATGAGCATCTTAGTATATAATATTTGATCTAATCATTATTAATGATCTTGTGTTGTTTAATTAGTTTCAACCAGAGAAATGCTTGTCTTACAAAGTAAATGAGTAAAAAATATATTACAAAATTACGTTAGAATTTGTAATTAGTCATTGTAACTATGTAGTTCAACTATTGTGTTATTTGTGATACCTAGTGGTTTCACATTTAATTAGATGAGATTTACAGTATACATTTGGTTGGAGTCCATGTGACTATTGTAATCAATGGTTGGAAACATGGATCAGAATGGATCACAATGGTGTCGGTGTATACACTCACTGTCTTCCCTTAAACTTTGAGATTAAAATCGCTTCATATCTTTCTTTCTACCTGTAGTATATCCTTATGTGCAACCTTTCTTTTATATATTATCACCATTGAATTAACTTCTTCTATGAATCTAGTGTTCATCTTGTTGTGCTAATGAGGTGTGGCAACTTGAACCGATGCACATATATGCTTGGTCCTATGTTGTAACTGACTGACAGTATACATTCATTTGTTAATTATTGAAGCTTAGATAAACTGGGAAAAGATATTCCATTGAAATTAGGATATCAGTTTGTGCTCCAACAAAATAAGCAGGTTTTATATGAACATGTATTTAGCTAAGTATAGAAACGACTAGTATTTATTATAGTGAATTAAGGCAATTTCTTTCATTTTCAACAAGAATTTTATACTACGGACTGATATCACCTTGAAAAGCATTAAGCAACTGGTAGCTGATTTACTCGTTTCTATATTTCCAATAGTGTGCAACCACAATATCATATCTCTTTGAAGCAAGGAGGTTTTCATTTACAAACGGTATAATACTTCTAAACCAGTGAATAGAAATCCCAATAGACCGCATTTATTCTAACTTCAATCAATGAAACTATGCAATACATATACTGAAATAACGTAAATCCCATCACGAACCAACTCCAATTAGACCACTAATGAAAACAAGGACGTAATGATTAGATATTTTATCCTAGTATATGGACTCGGAAGTGTGCATACATGATTCCTTCTGGAACAAAACACAAGAAACATAAGGTCTCACAAAGAACTCTTAACCTTCAGCTCACTGAGTCGATATCCAATGGTTTACATCTCCAGCTTCAACTAATTCGTGATATTCCACAACCATCTTCATATGCCATTAATGTGTAACAAACTTATTCGTGGAACAGTTCAACTTCTTTAGTTATGGCTCCTCACTCCAGGAATTACTTCTCATATCAAATCATTCTTGAAATTTTCCTCCAAATAGTAGAAATTACTTCTGAAATAATAATCTCGTTGACATCAAACCTTTGATTTCCCTTTCTCAACTTATTCCAAGATGGAAACCTTTCACATATCTACAATTTTATGTTGAAACAGCAATGTTTACTTATAAGTCTTATTCCTACTTATAAGTAGTTCAAGTGAAGAACCGATAAAAACCTATTCTCGTGATATATTGTTAACATTTTTATTTTTTAGATTGAAATCATGAACCAATTGATGTTAGACCGCCATTGAAAACCTGAAGCACTGGGCGGCCGTTTCGTCCCGTTGTGGGACTCCTCAGCAGTGCGCATCCACGGTCCCGCTCATAGGATTCGAACCCAAAGGCTTCAGTCTCACGCTTGACCTACTGGACCACTGAGCCGGCCGGCATCCAATGGTGTTAATGTCTAACCTCAACAATCCATGAAATTTCGCGACCATCTTCCATTGTACTGAGGTAGATATCTGTCTCTACCCGATACGGATTAGCTCTAATGTTCACGACTTCTCACTAGAACTCCGAGAATCCCCTCACGTTGCTAGTCACGAGTGAGCACATGGTAATCATCAGTATAGGGGCTGTAGAGATTATGACCCGATTGATGTTAGACTGAAGACCCTGGGTTTGAATCCAGCGAGCAGGATCGTGGATGCGCACTGCTGAAGAGTCCCATAACAGGACGAAACGGTCGTTCAGTGCTTCCAGGTCTTCAATGATGGTTTAACATCAATCGGTTCATGATCTCAATAAAAAAAACTTAATAATCTCCACAACCCCTATACTAATGGTTAACATTTTTAGTTGGAAAAGTTTAATCTGATTTTAATGATCTTTAAACTATTCACATGTATTGCTTTTAATGGTTTAGTAAACTTACTTATTCACAAAAATCCTGAGCAATGGAGGTTTCAATGTACATACGTTACATCTAACCTTTTTCGAAGCATTTGGAAACTAATGAATAAATAAGTCACTGCTGCTTTGGCTCTCTTCAAACAAGATCAGTACAAAATTATACCTTAGTTTACGAAAATGAGAGGACGAAAAGCGAATTTCCGGCACTTTAACCGGATCCCAAACCAATGGTGCACATGGGCTAGCTCCAGTATCCTGAAGGAACAAATGGTTTATGAACCAATCGTTGGTCACCGACTACCATGGGATTGCATCTCCTTACGATGCTTCACTGCTTTGTGGATCAGATCTTCAGGTCGAAGGCTCGAGGTGTGTCCCCCTAAGGAAACCACCAGCTTCGGTTTGGGCACCCGGGCAGTATCACAACCCTCACACAAATTAAATGAGAATTGTGTGGCGCATATGTATTTGGTGCCTCCTTGTACCAATATCTATGTGTCAAAATAAATAAATAATAAATAATATACCCTAGTATGATGCGACAATGAAATCAGTCAGCTGTATTTACACAATATCTTGAACAACACTCGAATGTAAATCCCACCTCATGAGCATCATTTTAGTGCGATTCTTAATTATAGGGTTGGGTCAAAAGATCTATATCCAACACTCCTTCCTTATTCGTTTTTTTTTTCTTCTGGGACTAACTATAACCCTAGAAACACTCTAAGAGAAGTCAAATACAATTCATAGCTATAATAAACTGAAGATACATCTCAATATAGAGAATTATAAACACATTTTCATAGATTAGATACTATACAGTTGAGATGGTGATTTCTTTTTTTTTTTCTCAGTTATATTGTAATTGCCATATAAAATTTTGTTTAGAAACTATAAGATTAATATTGAATATTAATTAAGTACTATAATCAAACTATATCACTGGATGTGTTAATTATAATAAATGATACGTTATGAAATGAACTGTACAATTTCACATTCATTATTTATAAAAACCTACTAGTACTACTATTGAATTGAGTTAATGAAAGTAGTAATAACAGTAGAGAACAAAACAAACTTACAATACTATAGTAAGTATAGATGATAATATGCATGACAACGAAAAACACAACAGTATATATATATATATATATCTTGACTACATCTAATTACAAACAAGAATAATAATAATAATAAAAACAGTCTAAGAAAATAATAAACGTAAGAATTTTAAAACAAAATAACTTCCAAATGTTATATAAAGTAATTTATCCATTAATTGACGTTTAGATAATTCAACTTCTATTTCATGAATACGATTCTCTAACAATTTAATACGTCGTGTATCTACAAGAATAGATTGAGTATTATTTGTTTGATTCATTGATGATGATGAGGTTGATGATGATGATGGTATTGATGTAGATGAATGACTTATAACATTGGAGATATTCGATAAAGCAAGTGGAGAAGGTTGTTGTACTGTTGGGATATGATTCCTTTTTTTTTGAAAATGAAATTAAATACAAATAATACTTATCACATTACCATATACTAAGCAAAATAACTATATTGAATTAAAATGTATGCCCCCAAATGCGACCGAGAATGAGGAGAGTCAGTTCTCTTTCTCGAAATGCTCTTAAGTGGCCACGTGAATACAATTACTGATATGGAAGTCCTACTCACTGCTTTCTCGTGACAGGGGTGTTGTTTACGAAATTGGGGACAAAAAGAGAAGGTCCAGTGCTTTAAACGGGTTGGTGGATATGGAGGATTCACGTAGGAGAGTTCGAACACCCTGATTTCGAACCAATACTGCACATAGGCTCCAGGATCCTAAGGAAACAAATGGCGTACGAACCAATCGTTGGTCACCGGCTACCATGAGACTACATCACCTTACGTTGCTCCACTGCCTTGTGGATTAGACATTTACGTCAAAGGCTCGGAGTGTGACCCCCTAGTAAAACCACCTGCTTCGGTTTGGGCACGTGGGCAATATCCCAGCCCTCACATAAATCGGATGATTATATGTCGCGCATATCTGTTTGGTGCCTCCTTGTACCAATGTTTATGTGTTTAAATAAATAAAATATATGCAGCCTCAACATTGAAGAGCTATCACTCTATATTACAAATTAGCCGTAAATTGATGTAAATCATTTACAAACTACATATTTGTTGTGTAGTTGAATTTGAGTCTCAAGGATAATCCCACTACTGCAAAACTGAACAAACACAAGGTGTAGTATAGTTCAAACCTGTTACGGAGAAGTAAAATGTTTTAATCACCAAGTCACAACTCTAAATGTAAACTATGGAAAAGGAAATTATCTCAAAAACTATGATAAGGAGGGTACCTGATTAATTATTGTTTCTTTCTTAAACGAATTATCAAAAACATACAAAAATAACCAATTATTCTTACTGAGATTCGTTTGTTAGTAATAACGGAGTCGAGACGGCTGTTTCTATTTCTCTCTTTTCAATAGTTAATCGTTCTAGATCTGGATAATTAACTTCATTTAATACTAAGGAAGTAGGCAATGGGTCCAAAGCATGTTGAAGTGGAACAGGATCTAAATTATCGATAAGATCGTCTGCAAAAAAACAGATTTAAAAAGTCATGTAGTTAAGCATATGGAGTCATCTGTATATTCGATAGATGGTGGCAATGTTGGTCACATCGAAAAAAATGATTCATACAAGTTTCCATAGAGTATATATTGTTACAGGTCCAGATTATTATTATTTAAATAAGTTTAACCACAGAATATCAGACTCAATCAGTTAAAGACTACGCAGAGCCTAGTACAAATATCTATTGGTCCAAGTTATCACATCTTACATCAGCTAAGTTAAAGGGGAAATGAACAAGATGAGAGGTAGTAAAAGAAAAATAATTCTAACAGTCAGTATAGTAGAAAGTTAAGTATGAGTATTCTTCTACAGAAAGAACACATGAGATAAAAGAAAAATAGGAACGGAATAATCTCAAAATTTAAAAGAATACGCAAGGAATTGATACAAATTTGCCACGGCAACAGATATTCAACGATGTCCCCCAATCACAGATGACTACTGGGCGTCATTCAGTTACAGAACCTACGACTCCTCAACAGTCAGTAACTTCATGTATGGATACCATGTCGTGATTTGGATCCTTAAAGTCTTATTCTAGGTAGTAGTATCGCACACCAAGGCAGGTGACTGCTGGGCTAACATAACACACATGGACGTCTATGGCCTAGTTAGTCAACTCACCGTTTCTACTAAAAACCCTAAGTTTGACCGCCATACATTGTCTCTGGTATCACCTATGATCAAATATTTACAACTAATATATTTTATAGTTTAATAGGCTGTTTCATAGCCGTACAGTAATACGGAGAGGACTGAGACGTAGTATACTCACCTCCTGATTAGCAAGTGGACATTTTACTTACACCATGCAATGTAGATAACCAAGCACATTTTTGTATTTATATCAGCCGTTCATAGGCCAAGACTTATGTGATCATCCAAATTCTTAAAGTGGTTTACACTTTCAACTAATTCGCTTTCCATAATGAAATTAGAAATCCACCTAAGGAAATTTTAAAATACAATTTAGAGTGGAACCCAACACAGACACTCTTGAATTATTATACAAGACGTTTAGAACAGTATTATGAGATGAGGAGTTCATCTAATCTGTGAACGGAACGAAGACTTTATGACACAATGACAGATAAGCTAGCTATTCCGATGCATCCCAACCCAGTTAACTAGAGAGAGAGAGAGAGAAGGAGAAGTCCAAGTTCAGAAGAGAGAAATATAATTCACTAACATCTAGAAGCACAAATAACCACGACGACAAGTCTAATCGGAAATACACTTATTTATATATTGATTCATACATTCATTTATGATTATTAATCAGAATAAAATCACATATATGAAAAATACTTAAGGTTAGAACAAATCATCTGCTGAGTATAGTTCATGTTAATTTTTAATACAAGAATACCAGAATATAAAGAATATCACTCTGGGAAACAGAAACAATAACTACATTGAGTAATCATCATATTGAATTAGAAAACAGAAGTAATGTTAAGCAAGAAATCATAAGAAGTAAAAGAATGTAATTTTGACTTTTTACTCTATATCTCATATCAATATTTTAGAATTCGTCAAACAGAATAGTTTAGATGATAGTTTACCTGACTCTTAGAGAAAATAACTTTCAGATGGTTTATGTATTTTTTTTTATAAACCTTTCAGTAAAAAAAAAAAACACGATGTCACTAAATTATGTAACTGGATCTTAACAAATTCTTACTATTTATTTATTTATTTGGACACATTAATATTGGTACAAGGGGGCACCAGATACATATGCGCCACACAATAACAATGAGAATGGGAAGAGAATAAAGAAGGCAATGTGTGCATAAAAAAAAAGAACAACGACCACAGGTTTTTGTATGGTAGTGAAACAGTAATAATAATGAGAGAAACAGAAAGGTACAACCGGAAAGAATTCTTCCAGTTAAAGAAGTTACGGCCACTTTTTATAAAGAAAACAAAGGAAGGCTACAGCAGGATCGCCACTGGCTTCTATTCTGAGCCATATCTGATAACGTTTCTAGCCACTGTGTTGCATCATCTCTCGGACCCCAACCAAGGATTCGAGAAGGACCAACACAAGCTAGCCCTTTACAGCTTTCTTTCATACCACGATACCATGTCATACACTGACCACCTCTCTGCTCTTTCAAACCAGTCCCAGCGTCGGAAAATAATGCACGACGTAGAATTCTCTGGGACGACATTCGTAGAACATGTCCAAACCACCAAAGTCGATGTTTCAGGATGGTGACACCAATTGCAATATCGTCACTGAGCCTGAACACACGATGCCGAACTTCTGCATTACTAACATGGTGTTGCCACTGGATATCAGCAATCCTTCGGAGACAGCGATGATCAAACACAGAGAGTCGTCTAACATCCTCGACTTGGAGAGGCTAGGTTTCAAAAGCATAGAGCAAAACTGCTCTCATCGATGCGTTGTAGATCCGACCTTTTACAGCCAAACTAACATCAAGAAGGCGCCAAAGATGGCCCAGATTGGTATAAGCCGCTCTGGCTTTCACTATACGTGCAGCGTTGATCTCATCACTCACACCACCACCAGCACTTATGCAGCTACCCAGATACACGAACTTCTCGACTACTTCTATCTGCTCACTATCCAGGGTGAGTACAGGATTAGAATCCTGTTAGTCTTGTAGACGTGCTTTGCACTTCGAAGGTGCAAAGTACATACCATACCTATCGACATTGATTGCCAACTGATTAAGTGCGGATTGCATGGCTTGGGAATTATCGCACAGTAAGACAATATTATCCGCATACTCAAAGGTCGAGAAGTCTTTCTCCAGGCAACAGACCCAACCATTACTTACATCAATCAGAGCTGTTTACAGAATGTTATCGATGGCAAAGTTGAAGAGGAATGGTGAAATTGGGCCACCTTGTCTAATCCCACTGCTTGAATGGAACAGTGGAGAGGTAGAAATCCTTACTAACTAACCTTTTGATGCCTTTATTAACAGTAAAAAATAATACAATGTGCTTTTGATTGGATTATATATATAAGCATGTTTGACACCTACCCCCGCGTCGGTTGAATGCCATAAGTGGAGATGATTGATTCTGTGCACCAGACATGACTATTCTTTCCGGCACTTTCATATTGTCATTCTCAGAAGAATTGAGTGATAAATTCACCTGTGGTAAACTACTTGGATCTAATGATATTCTATCAGGAACTCTCATCTTTGAGTTGATGTCTTTGATAAAATTAGAGTCACAGCTACCTCGTGTGTAAAAATCATCTAGGATGACGGACCTATGAACGAAAAACAAGTTAAAGTATATTACCACAAAATTTAAGTAGCCAAACGTTTTAATGACGATTTCTATCAAAAAAGTACTTAACAGAAAATCATAGAAGACTGGACCATTTTTTGTTCCGAAGCATGATTTCCTTGAGCATATTGCATTTTATAACTTTAAACGGGAATCAAGTTTCAGTGATTATTGCCAGGTGTCTGTACTCATATAATAAAAACAACATCGTACGACAGCACAAAGGATATAAAAATCAAGGTCGCTACACTTTAAGATTGCATAATTCCAATTGGTGAAGACGCTGGCAAAATGCAGTCTTCTAACTAACTCAAGCAATAATGCAAGCATGTTTGGGATGAAGTTCTCTCCTCTCAAATGCGAAATATTCCTTCAGAATCGGTCTGGGTCAGTGCCTAAATTATTGATAGGTGAAGTAGTCGAGCGTGTCGACCACTTCAATCATCTTAGGAGTCTCATCAGTCTTAGTGGTCTGGTGTCTGACGAAATTTCTGCACCGATTTAGAAGGATGGATTAGTTTTTGCCAACTTGAGTCATTTGTGGTGATGGTGAGATATTTGTATGCCAACCAAATGAGGTTTATTGCGCAGCAGTTCACTCCATTCTATATAGCTATTAAGAGTAGAGGATATTCGAAGGTTACTGGTATTCAATCATGGGTGTCTTCGAAACATTGTTTGTGTATTATTGGACCACCGAGTAAGTAACGATGGTAAATCAGTTTACAAAGTGGTAAATTCTCATCAACTGAGGTGGTTGGGATATGTTTATGTATGTCCTCCCATTTCCCACCTTGACGGGTGATGTCTGATGTAGAAGTAGTCTGAGAGAAAGCTAGGGGGCGGCCAAACCAGGATATGACATCAGTAAATGAATTCATTAGTAAATGGATTGAGTTATGTTAACAAGTGTAAACGACGTGGTTGGGGTTCACGTGATTATTGTGACCAATGGTTAGATTTTGAATGATATGGCTCAAAATCGTTTGTCATGACGCATGTAAATTCATTTTTCGTCTTCCCTCAAATACTAAGCTTCTGAATCCCCTACAACTATTTTGTTTTTATTATTTATTTTAACACAGATATTGGTACAAGGAGGCACCGAATACATATCTGCCACACAAGTTTCAATTGATGTGTGAGGGCTGTGATACTGCCCGGGTGCCCAGACCGAAACTGGTGGTTTTCTTAGGGGGTCACACCCCGAGCCTTCGACCTGAAGATCTGATCCACAAGGCAGTGGAGCATCGTAAGGAGATGCAGTCCCATGGTAGCCGGTGACCAACGATTGGTTCATACGCCATTTGTTCCTTCAGCATACTGGAGCTAGCCCATGTGCACCATTGATTTGCGATCCGGTTAAAGTGCCGGAAATTCGCTTTTCGTCCTCTCATTTTCGTAGACAACACCACCGCCACGTGAAGGCAGTGAGTAGGACTTCCCTGGCAGAGGCTATATACGCGTGGCCATGTGAGAGCATTTCGAGAGGGAGAGCGGACTCACCGCACTCTCGGCCGTACCAGGGCATTTGGGGGCCAAGGTGTGCCTGTAATCTTGGGGGAACTGGTGCTCCACTGGTGCTTCACATTCAGAGACGTTATCACTGGGCTATCCGCATTTTGTTTTTACTACACCAACTTACATTTTCTTAAATTGTATCTTCGATTTCTAATCTTTTCAATCACTACCCATACCAGCATTACCTCTACTATTCTGAGATTTGGTTTGACAATTCAATCTCTGCTAATGGGGTATGGTAACTGGAAGCGATATACTTACGTACCACGTTCTAGGTTATGACTGACTGACTGACGATGGTGTATAAATGGAAGACTGAATAGGACTAGATTGTCACCTGATAGTCAAATGCAGGGAAGTTATGTCAGTCCTGGTGAGTCGGCATCATGGATTTAGACAGTTCGGTTTCCCTTTGGTAACTAGCAGGGAGGGTGAGATGCCCGTTTCCTGATTGAAGAGCGAGTATGCTGAGCAGCGATCCCCTCTGTGTTGTTCCATGAAAGTAGAGGACTTGTATAAGCTGTAAGTTATTGATTACAGTTGTCTCTAAAGCATTCCTCTAGTATCTCGAAACGACTGAGTGAACAATCCTCAAGTTAGAGACAGAGTACCAACCAAATACTTTGAATCGGTTGAAGTTGTGTATCCACATGTTATACCACCCCCTACCTCGACAAGTAGCGTTCGCTGGTCTAGTAGTAATTCTAAGTGAGACCAAACCAAGGCGTGACATCAGTTCATGAGATTGTTGACTATTAATCTAAGCTCTGTTGGAAGATGCTGACTACTCGGTTCGAGACCACGCGATAACCACGATTAATGGTTGGAGACATTAAAAGATAGTTGAAAATCTGTCAACGTTCTTTTACGTTATATCTTTAGATTCAGTATTCCTTCATACGTACTTCTACACTTCACTATACTATTTTTCTCAAACCATATTCTCAATGTTCAGTCTTTCCCACTGTCATTGTTTCTGACTCACTTATTAATCATTGTGTCATGGCGACGTGGTACAGCTTTACTTTGATTATGAGTGACTGACATGAAATGCCCGATTACATGCTGAATGTAAGCTAGTAATGTAACTAAGAGTATGACATTTAGGAAAATTTAGTGTTCAAATTCAACTAGCGCATGAAAACTCTCTTCAAAGTGCTATACGACGGACTTATGCATAGTCACTGTAGCAGTCAACCAGATATAATACACCGAACATTTTCGTTGAAGTATCCAGTCATGATCTCTTGTTGTCTAACCATCTGGCTGCATTGAGAGCAAACCATATCTCAACTAAATGCAAACCCCCCAACTAGTACTAGAAAGTATCTTAAATACATAGTTCGATGATCTGATACATTATTGTTCCTGTCTGCTAGTTGTGGTATCAATTGGCAGTTCAATCAGTCATTTTAAGGATATGATTTTGTAGTCAATATAAAAAGACAGGTTAAGTTTTGTTAATGTAAACTCTAATATCTCACCTTAAAAACGAAGAACCATTCAGAAAATACAACTAAAGAGTGCCAAATTCAATTTTTCTCAGTCAGTCAGTCAGTCAGCTGCAACGTAGGACCAGGCACGTATATGCATCGGTCCAAGTTGCCATACCGCATTAGCACAACAAGATGAACACCGGATTCATAGGACTAGTTAATTCAGTGGTGGTAATATATAGAAGAAAGATTGTGTATAAGGAGATAGTAAAGGAAGAAAGAATTAGTTCCTAGACAGATATGGAGCGATTTTAATCTCTTAATTTAAGGAAGACAGAGAGTGTATACACCGACGCCATTGTGATCGATTCTGAGCCATGTCACCAAGAGTCTCCAACCATTGGTTACGATAGTCACGCGGACCCCAACCAGGTAGTCTGCATCTACCAACATGGCTCAGACCAGAAGTTAGTGACTTCAAGCACTGATGCCACGTTTTGGTTTGGCCGCCCCTAACTTTCTTCCAATTATCCCCTGCACTAGTCAGCATTGCGCGTCGTGGTAATCGGTGTTCAGGCATACGCAACACGTGGCCCAACCATCTCAGTCGATGAAGATTCATAACCTCATCAACTGATTTACCATCATTCCCTAGTACCCTGCGTCTAACCTCACTATTACTTACCCGGTGATCCCAGCAGATACCCTACAAATATGAGGCTGGTGGGTTTAACTTCATTGGCAATGTTAATTTATTGACAATGTACATGAGCTCCAAGATTCTAAAGGAAAAAAAGGTGTATGAACCAATTGTTGATCACTGGCTACTACGGGACTGCATCTCCTTACGTCGTTCTAATGCCTTGTGGATTATACCTCTACGTCAAATGCTCAGGGTGTCGCCTCCTAAGAAAACCACCTGTTTTTGGCACCCAAACAGTATCCCAGCCCTCATACAAATCGAGTGATTTATGTGGCACACATATATTTGATGTCTTCTTGTACCAATGTTTATGTGTTTAAATAAGTAAATAAATAAAAATGGTCAACTGATAGGACATGAAAAACTAGTTAAATCAGTTTTACTGCATCCAGAACTATTATAACTATCTAAGGCAAGTGAAACGTATTTACCACATATTAGAGGTTATATCTACATTGCTTTTCGTACACAATAAAATCGAACTAATCAATTATAAATACTAGTTTGCTAAGAAATTACTTCCAATAAATAAGCTGATTTTCGGCTGTATTAAAAATCTCTAAAAACTGAATCAAATACATACTCCATAAGTTATACGGGAACGAATAATAACGGCTCTAAGTAAACGGAACACAATAATGAAAACCGAAAGTTATGATAGTATGTAGACTTTTAAAAATTAGGAGATCAGGCAACATAGAAAGCCACGAGTTCAAAAGCCGGTTTCGAGGAAAACTTCATTCTCTTTACGACACTGAACAGCCTCTTGAAGGTAATAAGTACGTAAAAACATACAGATAAATATTTTATACGCCCTGTCTGATACTTATTGTAAACAATAAAAATGCAAACAGATATTTAATTCGGGATAAGCACATGACCAACTGAACATATGGGGCTGGAAGGGTTTATGTCCGATAAGAGTGAACTATGAACCTGTGGTGATACTTGGTCACATTTATTTACGAATTCACTTGAAAATTTACTTAGGAATTGTGGAGTAATGATGACAGAATCTTGTCCATACTCAATCACCCTACTCTGCTGTTCACCTCACTCGTAAGGAATCCGGTAGCTTTCCTCAAAGTTTTAAGTAAAACCTCAAAGTGCTACAAGATTTTAGGGAAATATTGTGAAAATCCCTAAATTTACCCAAACATATGTTTGGGTATATATCTTGGGAATTTCCCCAAACTTTAGATTTTCCCTAGGAATCAAGAAATTCTGGAGCTTTTGAGCGATTTTCTCAAAGCTTTTAATCGCAACTTCCCAAAATTTACCTGAAACGTGCAAAATTCTTCCCGAAATGAAGAGATGGGGTATTCCATCACTTATGATAAGACATGATTTTCCTGGCGAATCGATACTAATTTCGCGCCGAAACCATATATATAAAACGTTTTAAATACAGTCTTTGCTTTTTAGAAATTAAAAAGGAAATGAACTCACATGTGTCAGGTCAGACGTCTTTCTCACCACTTGATCACAAGCATGTGTCGCACAAAAACAACACATCCGCGTAAGGCTTTTCAAAACTCAATAACTTGGAATGTGGTTGACAATAAAAAACGAAGTGGAAGGAGTGATAACGTAACAACATAGTTATTGACTAGTTTCTATGGAATTTAAAGGGGTGAAACGCTATTTGACAATGAATAATAAGATAATTTAGTGCACTACCTTTGGTTCAAATGATTGTGGACGGAACAGAAGGAGCTTTCGCTTAACGGGCTTAGGTATCTATTAGCAGCGGACCACAAAAAGCTTGTAAGCTCAGAAATCGAACAGATAAGATTACTACAAAATGTATGTATTACCAACCGTCAGTGAATGAAATAAGTCGTAGGTAACATAATAATAACAAGAGCGACATATGGAATCTTTCAGAAGGCATCCAGGGCATTGAAGTACACTGTACATATCAAGGTCAAACAACTAAGTAAACATTAATTATTTTGAAATAATGAAGAATTTCAGTTCCGCCGCCTCGAAAAATCAATTTTACAGCATGAAGAACTTATGTAGAGATCCTTTACGATGAATTTTCTACATGTATCGAAAACAGTTTTGAATAGATTAGGGACCAAGCTATTCAGAATTATAGGCAGAAATTGATGGTGTTTAATAAAGACATATCAAATTCAAGCATCTGCACACCCGTCTTGATATACGATGTCTGGCCGGACTCGTCGCTCTTCGATATATCAGTTCAACTCTGTTGGGTTCACCCGAGACTTTGTCTGGTGACTGTACGTCTCAAAGAAGTTCGATCATACTCATACATCAACCATCTAGAAAGACCTCACAATCTTATATTATTATATCTTTTCACTTCAGTCAAATTTATTTCACTGAGAACGGAACTTCTGTGGTGATTTAGGTTAGGCTGAACAGTAACAAAATCACTTTATCGTACTTTACATATTCTTGAGTAGAAAGACTGATCACACTGCACACTTTTACTGTCAATTAAAATCCCGTGGTATCAAAAATTCATCAGGTAAGCGTAAGGGATACTCGTGAGTTTCTAGGACCTCATTTAGCCCGGTCGAGTGATCGGCACATGAAAGGACGCTACATATTCATACATAAAATTGTAAAAAGCCATCCCGTGTTTTATCACATATGCAGTCATACACATTGATTTCAATTGTAGTTACAAAATAATCAGTGCTTTAACAAGTTTTACAAAGTTTGTAGAGAAGCCAGCTTACTTCAAGAAGTATGCACAAATGTGTAGCAGTAAATAAATAACCAAGATAATATTCTGTAGGTCTTTAACACTGACACCTACCTAATTAGTTTTACTTGACACACCCCCAACTGGAAGCGCTCGATCAAGAATCCACAACAGGAAAGGATTGCGTAATCCGTGCTACGCACCCCTGGCAACAACTAATTGACTTAAACTACATGCTTCTCGACGCATTAAAATTTAAAAATAATGTGTGTTGATCAAGAGCAGAGAAAATAGCGTCAAATAGAAATTTGTGGATGTCATCATGTTTACATAGCATAAATCAAATTAGATCCGAAAAATCAGTTTATTTGAGTAGATGTAGTACAAGACTGATCTTTTTACAGTTGCTAAACTGGAATGTTTTTAAAGTAACAGAAGCAAGATTCCCACAGAAGTTAATTTTAAGGGGAGGTTGATGTCGCATACAAAGCTAGGTGGTTATGAGTAACTCTTTAATCTCTTATTAAGACCAAAATATTATAGATAAAATAGGCACTTACTTCCTCGGTTGGTTCAGATACCGAATTGCTCATATTGGGTGATGAAAAGTTTATTTCCCGCTTCACCAGCTTCTCGTAATCTATAACATGCCACACAACGAACATCACAAGGTATTCTGATTCCTTATATGACGTGGGACAAATACAAGCACTTTAAATTCAACTCATCTGTAATATATATCACAAAATAGAGACTTTTAGTCAGATATAAGAGACTGGCTGTTTAATAAATAGGTATATATGTATTGATACCTTAGAAAATAGCTTGTAGTGGTAGATGAATACCAAAATAAAAGTTCTGTGAGTCTTCGACAACGATACTGACTTTATTAGTTTTGCGGTTCTCACCCCAGCTGAAGGCACTCGGTCACACATCCCCACCAGATTACGAGGTGGTAGGCCGTGATACCCCTACTAGTCATCTTATTGTGTTACTTTTATTTTCTTGGTTTTCGGACCATTTATATATTGTATGTTCATTATGGTGGAACAGATGCCCGAAATGTCGAAAATTGAAGCTCTTATGCCCCCCATCTTTCAACCCATGCCGCTCCGGTCTGGTAATATTGGAGCCTGGTTCCGCTACACACAAGCTGACATGCATGGACGCGGCGTGATAGACCCTCGTGAACAATTCCTCGCAGTGTTGGAGGCACAACGTTGTGAATGTAGAAGGTGCTTTGCACCGAATATGTTTACTAGTGAGGTTACCGTTCCTCGCGATGCCTTAAAAACAGACTATCCTTGAACGGATAGATCTAATCAATCAACAGAAGTTGGACCAGCTCAGAGACAAAATTTTACCACATGTGTGGAAGGTTATCGGTTAACGAACTGTTGACGAGAGCCTACTTAAACAACTTTCCTTGTCTAAGCTTACCCAATAGGTGCAAGCGGTTCTGTTGTACATCACCGAAGTGATGATGAAGGTTCTCTATCTTGTCAACACTAGCGCTTATTTAGCGTCCTCCTCGCGACAATAATAACCATCCACATATCCGATTCTCAACTTACAGGTAGAGAACGGAAAACCGGTCACTATATACGGTAAGAGCTCTTCTTATCTTAACATATGTTAACGCGCACCTGTTCACCAGAGTTTAGCTGTTGCAGACGTGACAATATTAGCTATTGGTAAAGACCTTTACAACACAACAATATACTCTCCAATCCAAGCGAACAGAGGTCAGTGTACAAAAATACTAAATTATCTGTTTTGGAACCTTAGTTCCTGGTTGTACATTATGTCTGGTCACAATTAAACGTGTAATCTATCCATACATCTAACGAACACTCGATAAGTATCCCAAACTCTACAAAGTACGACCACAGCTGCCGTTCGTAACCAGATATGTTACACACCACGTCACAGCTACAGGACCACATATATTTTCGAAAGCGTGCCGGATAGCTCACAAAAAGTCAAGATAGACCAAAAACGAAACCGAGAATTATCCAGCTATCAAACAGCTCTCGGTCATCTCCTTTGTGTATGGTCAGTATAGGGGACAGAAATGATCGGGATCGAACTTGTGATTATCGCTATCTTAATACAAAAACCATCAACGCCCGTTAGTCTTTCGTGCCGGTATGTACGCATCACTTTATTTGTAGAAAAAACGAGGCTAGCGATCGATAAAATTCTCAATTGCAGACTACATTCCTAGGACGGCTGTCAGCACTTCCCTCAGACGTAATACATTTTTACGCATCATTTCTGGTTTAAAAAGTTCTGCACAAACTTCTTGGACAGTTGTTAATGACAAATCCCCGGTCTCAGCCCTGTGCACGTGTATGTTGATGAGTGCGTGATCGTAAGCCTCGACAGAGGAACGAAGAATTACTGTAAATATTCAGAAATTTCAGATTGGAATTGACTTCTTGAACTTTCTCGGGCACACTGTTGATGCCCTCTGCAAAGCAATGTGGGAGCCATTCTGGCTTACCTAGAACCAACAACAGTCAATTAATTGTGTAGGCCCAACGCCCTGTAAAGATTTTAGTGAAATATAGTGTCGACCATCCTAATGGAAATGAGAAACTTGTCAATTTGCACAACAACGCGGAAAGCAGCATTCCCCACATTTAGAGAAACCTATCGCTAAAGCAACGACGGCGGAAAAGGCTGCCAGAGAAGGAAACATGAGACAACTGTATGACACAACAAAGACACTCTTTAAAAATCACCGTAAACCAGAACGACCAGTGAAAAGTAAGGAAGGCAAGATAATTACCAACATTAGAGAAAAACGAAACAGGCGGGTAGAACACTTCAAGGAACTCTTGAATCGACCAGCCCCACTGAACTCACCCGACATCGAAGCAGCACCCACGGACCTCCCAATTGATGTTGGCCCACCAGCAATTGAAGAAATCATCATGGCTATCAGACAAATCAAGAGTGGCAAAGCAGTAGGACCAGACAACATCCCAGCAGAGGCACTAAAAGCAGACGTGGCGGTAACTGAAAGAATATTCCACATACTCTTTAATATAGTTGGGGATGGGGAACAAGTACCAGAAGACTGGAAAGAAGAACTTCTGATCAAAGTACCAAAGAAAGGCGATCTCAGCAACTGTGATAACTACAGGGGAATCACTCTTCTCTCAATACTAAGAAAAAGTCTTCAACAGGGTATTGTTAAACAGGATGAAAGACCCAGTAGACTCCCAATTTCGAGACCAACATGCAAGATTCCGTAAGGATAGATCGTGCACAGACCAAATCGCAACTCTACGGATCATTGTGGAACAATCAATTGAATGGAATTCATCACTCTATATCAACTTCATCGACTACGAAAAAGCATTTGATAGCATGGACAGAACAACCCTATGGAAGCTTCTTCGACACTACGGCGTGCCTCAGAAGATAGTCAATATCATACAGAATTCCTATGATGGATTAAACTGCAAAATCGTTCATGGAGGACAGTTGACAAAGTCGTTCGAAGTAAAGACCGGTGTCAGGCGAGGTTGCTTACTCTCAACCTTTCTCTTTCTCCTGGTGATCGACTGGATCACTAAGACGTCAACATTTGAAGGGAAGCACGGAATACAGTGGACATTTAATGTGAAGCTGGACAATCTAGACTTCGCAGATGATCTGGCTCTTCTATCTGAAACACAACAACAAATGCAGGAGAAGACGACCAGTGTAGCAGCAGCCTCAGCAGCAATAGTTCTCAATACACACAAAGGGAAAAGCAAGATTCTCCGATACAACACAGCATGCACCAATCCAATCACAATTGACGGAGAAGATTTGGAAGATGTAAAAACCTTTACATATTTGGGCAGTATCATCGATGAACACGGTGGATCTGATGCAGATGTGAAGGGATGGATCGGTAAAGCAAGAGCAACATATTTACAACTGAACAACATCTGCAACTCAAAACAACTGTCTGTCAACCAACGCCAAAGTCAGAATTTTCAATACAAATGTGAAGACGGTTCTGCTGTATGGGGTGGAAAGTTGGAGAACTACGAAAGCCATCATTCAAAAGACACAAGTAATTAATGACAGTTGTCTACGCAAAATACTTCAGATCCGCTGGCCAGACACTATAAGCAACAACCTACTGTGGGAGAGAACGAACCAGATCCCAGTGGAGGAAGAAATCAGGAAGAAGCGCTGGAAGTGGATAGGACACACATTGATGAAAGCACGGAACTGCGTCACAAGACAAGTCCTCACATGGAATCCTCAATATTGAAGGAGGAGAGGAAGACCAAAGAACACATTACACTAGGAAATGGAGATATAAATGAGAGAAATGAACAAGAATTGGATGGAACTAGAAAAGAAGGCGGAGGACAGAGTTGGTTGAAGAGTGCCGGTCGGCGGCTTATGCTCCATTAGGAGTAACAGGTGTAAGTAAGTAAGCAAGTAATCGCTAAAGTAACTATGCTCACACACAAGGAAATCAAAGCATCCACTACTACCATCATAGACGCATTTGAATCGGCAATTGGAGTAGTGTTACAACCATCACCTGACAAATGGAATTCTGCTCGAGACGGTTGCGACACAATATATCGGGGTTTATCACTTTCAGAGAGAGACCCCTATCAATGTATTGTGCTTTATGGAATTTTTAACACCATGAAAGGCCTAGGATTCATCATGATTACCGACTACACGCCTCTCATCATTTTCCGTAGGGTTGTCTTCAGACTATCACTCCCTTCGAGAGTCTCGACAACTAGACTACGTTTCTCAGTTTACATCAGATATTTAACACATTTCTGGCGCAAACGATGTGGTTGCAGACATTTTGTCTCGTGTAACTTTCTTGATCATTTTCCAAGGAATCAGGCTTCTCGAACCCACTCGGCCTAAAATAGAGGGCACTGAAACTCAGCACGAGTTAGCTTTCATAACTCTGAAGCTGTGTAATTCACTACTCAACTGAGAGAGAGGAGTGAGATATTACCGTAAATAAATCTTCAAATAAATAGTTCTAGGAACATTCCATTGGTCTAACAATGTCCTCATCAAAGCACCTGAAGGACTGTCGAAATAGCTACATAACTGTGCTCTATGTAGCAGACGACTAGTTGTACTTTATATTTCAGTTTGTGTATATGTCACATCAACTTTTACTAATTTAATAAGCCTCTACCTTTGCCTTAGTTACATGAGCAACATCAGTCGATGGTGGAGACTTCTGGGACTTCTTTTATCACTTCTTCTTGTGAAGAATCGTATATCATGTTCCAGCTGTGTTTAGTAGGGCGTGTGCCTATTTGGAATGGCTAATTTTTCAATCTTGTCAAGGTGTTACTGAAATTTTGATGCTCCGCGACTACACGTCAATTAAAAGTTCCTAAAACGTACAAAGCTGTTTGCACACTAACAAATAAGTTTTTCCAACAATTTCCGTTTTGAGGGTATAATAAACAAGCTTTGAATTTGTTATATTCTATAGAACTTCCATAAAATACTCAAGGCTGGTGCTGTTTTAAAAGCGCACAATATGGTTTTGTTTATCCTCTCGTTGCCATAAGACATATGTCAACATTTTATAGTGATCTAGCAAAAGAAATAGAAGACGAAGATACCCCAGTAGGTTTTTGTTATATTATGACTATTCAATAATGTAGTTCAATTATAATGGAAGTCTAAATGAAGACAGTAGGTTTATAGTTATATAGTTTCTTAGTTCGTATTCAGATGATCTCGATGATCTACTAAATTCACTTGATCAGAAAAATGATTTAAAAGCTCGGAAGCCAGGTAAATTGTGTAGGGCTATGTCTAACGGCCCAATTAGTCATTAAGCAGAATGGTGATTCAAATTCCCTCTCAGAATTCGGAAGACATACCGAAAAGACTAAAAGCCAAACAAAATCTTCCAAGACTATCCTTGATGCACTTATAGACCCATTTGATGGTACTTTGAATTTTCTCCCTGACCTGTTATAGTTTCAGACCCTGTTTTCGCAAAGACAGAAAAACCTGCTTATAAATTAAATCCTGAATTTGCAGATGAATCTAAACGACGTCCTAATTCATCGACTCCTAAAAGAACAGTTCGATTTTTGGACGACGTTGGAAGCGAACACCAGGATGTATCTGGTAACAGGCAGTCTGGTGACTCATCTGGTTTTGTGAGTTTGTTAACTTCATGTTCTTTTCGCTTAATACGAAGAATTTTTTCATAGCATGTTTTTATGTAAAACAGTACTATACCCAAATTTGAAAATAAATGGGTCATTATTATTTACTGGTACTTGCCTGACTACCTCCCTAATTATCAACAAAGTGCTGTGATATCACTTAATTCATAAACAAATTTCAGTAACTTGATTTTCATAAATCTTACCGACAAGGATGTTATGTTTATCACCTTAAAACAACATTAAATTTGGGTTTAGTACAGGTAATATGGAAAGAACACCAAATGTATCTTACATTGTACCCTCCTAAAATATGCACTTCCTTATTTGCTCGAGATTAACATACTTCGTGGTCTCATCATTGGCCTAGTCAACGAATAGACTATTTACAAAGACTTCTCACATCGATAGTACTAAGGTTCGATAAAAATTCTAAAGTTGGCTAAACTATGACAGTAGATATGACAGCACAAAACCGTCTTAACCTTGATAGGATCATCCTCATCTTTACAAGCTGTTCTCTCATCATTAGAAATACTGCATCGATTTTATCCGCTTAATTAATTTCAACTAAAAGTATCGCTAACCAATCTCATCTACGATCTATAGTTAACCGTTTTTCATAAGGTTTCAACAGCAGTCTTTAAAATTCTCTGTTTTGGAACCTACAAACGGAAGCTGAGTCGTTTTATGCTAAGCTATCACAAAATACCTATATTTCTAGGTTAGACATCATCATCTAAACAGTTTAAAAGTGAATAATTGGATATTCTTTTTCTATTTTTTGTTTGACAAATAGATTTTTCACCTTACTAATTAGTTTGCTGGCAAGCACAAAAATTCATACTTATATGACAAAATACCTGTTAATGAAAAAATATATGAATATCTCAATTAAAATTATGTAACTAAATTATATTCATCAGCCACTTAGATTGACTTGTTAATAATCATCAACAAATTGAAATTGCGGTTTTTAGTACAAAACATAATATGATAGAGTTTGAAAACTAATTTAACTAACTGAATGCTAAAGTAGTTATGCTTTCAGCTCTGGGTTACATATTAGTTGACACTAGACCTTGTCTCTCTCAGATGCAATCAACTAAATAGCAAACTTTGTAATTCGGTGAAGTTTATGTCGCTTATGATGGCGTGTGTAAATTTTCTCGATAGTTTCAGAATCAAATCCTAACATTAAGTCTATGATCAACATGGACAAACCAAACGGTCTATGAGAACAACGATGGAATATGACAAACGGCTAAATGCTAGGAACCAGACACTCTAAACCAACGAGTCCAGATTAAGATACATTGTTGGTCTTAAACTCCACTTCTCATGATTATCAAAGTCCATATTCAATACTCAACTACAAATATTGTAAATTCACCCATCCTACAACCTTATCTGTCGATAAAAATTGATGAATTTAGTCTTTGTTATCAACATCCAGAATCCCTAAACATTAAAGCAAAAGTGCAGTAGCAGTCTATTTAGTTTCTTGAGAATTCCTGTCTTTTAATTATTTATTTTTTGACATATTTTGAATAGACAACTTCAATATCAACAGTTTTAACTTTAAGTCTTTGAATATTGTTACTTTTAACCATGCAATAATAATGTTATTTCTAATGTCAGTTACTATCGTTTTATAGAACTAGTTAGCACCTTAGCCAGATAGTAAAAAATTTTAAGACCAAATAAGTTGAGAATTACTTTTACATCACATTACATGAAAAGCTAATTGAAAATACCCTTATATTATGCTTAAAAATTTAAAACTGTTTGAGGAAATGCTTTTTTTTCATCATAGAGTGGATGTGTTGGCGTCAAGCACATTGAATGCTTGCTTTCTCACCGTAGATCATACATGACAAACAAATTATCAAGTTTATATCTTAGCTTAATTTGATCATGGTAAACTCTCGCACAAAAAGCAGTATTATCAATATACTGAACAATAGATGATCAATCTGGTAAAACCGATATAATAAAATGGGTATTAATTTTTACGCATTACTTTTTTGATTCGTTGTCTTGTAACTTCATCTTTGTAACTCTTGAGTTAACTTGTTAGTTAGGATTTTGTAGGAGATGGTGAATTTTTTCTAAAATACCCGTGGCTACAGCGAAAGTTTATGAGGAAGCTCTCAGTGTAGATATGTTAACACTCATATTGGTGAGGTTGGTGTGCGTTTTTCTATAATAATACGATTGTAAACTTCATAGTAAACCATATGGAACTAACAGAATTTATTAAAATACTATACTTTGACAGATTTAATTATTTTTTATGAAAGACGCTCTTGATTTATTCAGACACTTGTTCATTAACTAAAGGATACTCTCTAAATCTAAATGTCATAATAATCCTGCTTTCGGCCTTTCGCCATAATATCGTAGAGGTAATGTTGTAGGAATTTATATTTTCCAATGGTTTAGTTGGAATCTGATATGGAGGGTAAAACGTAAGCCCGGTAATCAAGTCTTAGTTACACAAGTTAATTATTAACTGTGCGTTTTTTCTGCAGTTATTGACATTTAAAGCGAATTTCAGCTGTGTCTATTTCTATATTAACTATTTTTTTAATGAATTTGTTACTTCAATAAAGACAAAAACTTACTTTTTTAACCAGATGTTCTTTCTTTAGATATTCATTCATGTAGGAGGGGCTGTACTTAACAATTCATTTTCCATCAGAGATTCTCACTTGATCATGTGAATTACACCGGTTTAAACAATTATTACCAACTAACACAGTCCCTAAAGTTTCCCCGACTTGTAACAATTTTAACACATATTATTTGCGAGCTGATAGCTCAGTATTATCTGTACTTACATGGTGATTATATTTTGAACTGAAAGTAGAACTCGTGCCCCCAAATGCCCAGGTACGGCCAATGGTAGGAAGAGTCAGCTCTTTTTCTCGAAATGCTCTCATATTGCCATGCGTATACAGTCACTGCCAGAGAAGTCCTATTCACTGCCGTCTTGTGTCAGGGGTGTTGTTTACAAAATTGAGGGGACAAAAAGTAAATGTTAGGCACTTTAACCGGGTGGGTGGATATGAAGGATCCACATAGGGAAGTTGGAAAATCTTTATTCCAAACCAATTTTACACATGAACTCCAGGACCCTAAGGAAAAAATAGCGTATGAACCCATTGTTGGTCACCGGCTACCATGTAACTGCATCTCCTGTCGTTGCTTCACTGCCCAGTAGATCAGACCTTCTGTTCAAAGATTCGAGGTGTAGCCCCCTAAGAAAAGCACCTGCTTTGATCTGGGCACCCAGACAGTATCACAGCCATCACACAAATCGAATGATTTATGTGACGTATATCTATTTGATGCCTTCTTGTACCAATTTTTATGTGTTTAAATAAATAAATGTACTAATAAGGACTCGTAATACATGTTCTTCTCCTATTCAGGACTGAGAAACTGAATATACTTACTTTCAAGTAGCTACCAATTACAACAACAGTAAAGTACAAGTCATTAGAATCAACTTACAAACTGTATGATTAATGACACCTTTCACTTTAATGGATGATGCCTACTCGTTTTAGGATCTATGAGTACTGTATTCCAGTCTTATGATGAATAACATCACCAGACTGTAAATATAGATAGTTGATAACTTCTCAATAAAATAAACTACACAACCTACGTCCTACTACTACCCAATATTCAAAAAAATATGATCAACTTGAAATGATTAACCACTTTAGTCAATTATTAACGAGTTCATGTCTTACTATTTTTATTTTTCTTGCTTTTATTTACAATTAATATAGGATCAATTTGATTTAGACATACAAACACCTAAAACGTTATGCAATAATAATAACTCTAGTTCAATTAGACCTCAAACAGCTCCAACATCATCAGAATTCGGAAAATTCACATTTAAAGCTTTACTTGATGATGATGATAGCAATAATAATAATAATAAAAGGTTAGCTACTTATTCTATTGAATGGTTATATTTTAAACAGATCAGTTGATCTCAGTATATCTGAATTGTGTCTGCCAGTGAAATTCAAGATCTATATTTCTTTCTATTTAAAACTTGTCAGTAAGATATGCTTGAAGCATCATGTTGACGTTTATATTTAGACTCAAACATATAAGGTATCACTCCAAGGCATTTGATTATTAATGAACAAATTAGGATTTCGGGTACTACGATTTTACAGAAGTGGAAATATAAGAGAAAACTAACTAGGTCAAAAATAATTTACCTGTATTAGTAATTTAATAGTTGAGATCATGATTCAATTGAAGCTAGACCACCATGAAAGACCAGGAAGCACTGAACGGCCATTTCATCCTATTGTGGAACTCCTGAACAGTGTCCATTCATAATCCGGCCTTGCAAGATTCAAACCTTGAGCCTATCAGTGTCGCGCGCGAGCGCGTAACCATTAGGAGTCCAATACGAGGACGAAACGGCTGTCCAGTGCTTCCATGTTTTCCATGGTGTTCTAGCTTCAATTGACTCAGGGATTCAACTACCAAATTACTATAATATCCACAAAATCCATTCTCTGATTATTTATATTAATCATGGTGTTGTGATATACGACTTAAAAATAAATGTAACAAACTGAATACAAGTAAAACTGTAGGTTTAAGGAAAGGTAAAGGATAAATACATCCTAGTTGAGGATTTGTTTTAGAGACTTACCTAATTTATACGCGTTTTTAGTCACAGATTTTCAGCATTTGAAATATCAATGGAAACATTCTATGGGTTTACAGTGAGACATTGAGTGTCCCTAGTTTAATCTCACACAGTTCACGGATACACTCAGATGGAGAGGAACATTCCATGCTATGATGCAACAGTTGTTCAGTAGTCACGGTCTTCAATCGTCCTCCAAACGGTACTTTACCTTAATGAAACCATTTATAAATAAATAAGTCCGTTTCACTTAGATCGACTTTGTAATCATGTTACCTATTTTCTTCCATCAGAGAGTGCAATTATCTTTCAGATGAAAATCAAAAAGTCTGTACCGTTTTAAATTCGCGCAACCATAATAATAAATATAGCTGTTTATTAATCAATGAGGCACATATTTTGAGTTTTCTTAGTTTAGTGGTATAAACACTAACCTTTCAATGACATAGTTCCAACTTCCGATTCTGTTCTAACAAATTCAGCTCTAAGAGTTGAATTTTATTTCAATAGTCTGGTGTACTAGTATGGTATAAAGCAAGTGTGCCAACTGACTGCTAATTCAGTAATAATAACTAGTATCATGTCCTTAATGGTGATAGGATACCATCAATCAACTTGCAATGTAGCCATTATTCTAAGTGATAAGAGTTCTTGAAAATTTTAGATATACTTTGATGACATGTACCATCTGGTACAAAACCCAAACAAAGTATAACTCTTTAACAAACTGTCCTAGATCATTTAAAGTCAACTTTTCTTCGGCACATCATAATTGACAGTTATCTTATGTAATCACAATATAAAATGTATCTATATCATCATTTGTAGAGGTCTGTGGTGTCCTTTTGTTGAAATTCACGGACAAATATATTGTCTATTTCTATTTACACACATCTTCCTTGTCTAGATGCCTCTGGTTGTTACAAATTTATTGTATTTTGAAAATCATAGCTAGTTATGAAATGACTAGTGGATTTGAATCTTAATGTGAGTTTATACTCAGATGATGGGTCAACTCTAGGGTTACTGCCGTTTCCAAGCCACGATAAAGGAGGATGGTTGGACATGGGGTTAGTCACCAAATCCCGTAGAAAACTAAATCGCTAAAAAAAAGTTAACCAGAAAAAAAATCTATATCATTATGTAAATGTAATTGAAGAAAAACACTACTATCTTCTATTAATTTTACTCTGTTTGTACTTTATTTTAAAGCTCTTCAAATCAAATTCTTAATCTTTTATCCGATGACAAATTAATTGACAATTCAAAATCAATTAAATCTACTCGATCTCATACACGTCGTCCTTCATCATTAGAATCGATTCATCCAATCCCAAGTAAGAAAATATTCTGAATTAGAGTTTATTCAATCGAATGATTTTTATGATTGTTAAAAGGAATAAATAATGTGATGTCTACTACTGATTCTGACAGATATAAGTAGTGTGTAGCACTAATCGAAAGTGGAACGCCTGGTGGCAGAAGGTTAAGAAGATTGAAGAAAAGAGAACGAGAACAAAAAAATGGTGTGGGAATGAAGGAACAATCAAATCTGAAACGATTGATTGATATTTTGCAAATGAAGTGCATATTGTATAGTTCTCAGATTCTATTAAGATGTTCTGTAACTTTGTATTCAAATACATTCGATTGTCCCTATTGATGTTCTCGCTCATTATGATAGTATAGTGCTCGATAGATAATATACAACCATACAATGTGACCAAGTTCTTTTTTTCGAAGTAGATGTCAGTGAATAGAAATTACAACAATGTCTATTAATATTAAGTCAAACAATTAAATTAGTTTGCGTTGTGGAGTAGATTATATACTTCATTACTTGCTTACATACGCCTGTTACTCCTAGTGGTGCATAGGCCGCCAACTAGCATTCTCCAATCCACTCTGTCCTCCGCCTTCCTTTCTAGTTTTATTCAATTGTTGTTCATTCTTCTCACGTCTGTCTCCATTTCACGGCGTAATGTGTTCTTTGATCTTCCTCTTTTCCTCTGTCCTTAAGGATTCCAAGTGACATAGTGACATAGTTGGGTGTTTTCCTCATTGAGTGTCCCATTCACTTCCAGCGCTTCTTCCTGATTTATTCCTCCACTGGAATCTGGTTTGTTTTCTTCCACAGTAGGTTTTTGCTGATAGAGTCTGATCAATGGATCCAAAGTAAAGTAGAATATATAACGTTACATATATTTCAACAATAATTCCATTATTACTGTACACATTTTAATTATATAGTCTTTTACATAAATAAATTAATGTTAATTTCTATGTTTTAAAATATTGTTCTTCATCATTAGTCACTCAACTACCAAGTGATTTCGACAAATTAGAAATTGATCGTCCACGTTCAACATCCTCCTCAATATCATCATTTGATAGAGTAAGTTTTAGTTAATTTTTAATAAAAAAGCTTGTGACTTAAAGCTATATCGAGGCAATCCGCACACGATGAACATATACCAACATGAAACTGATCAATTGCAGTCCTAAATAACAATGGGAAGATACAAAACTGACCGAGAAAAAAAGAGAATAAGTAGTAATAAGTGATGGGACTTATATTGGATCCCCATTGTCCAAGATCTTTATCACTTAGAAATTGTATCTTACTCTTTTTTTTTCTATTAAGAATGTTATAAAAACTTCAGAGCAATTATCGATCGGATTCGATATGCACTAAGAAGAATCTGACATATATGGCACTGATCACCACCCAGTGATCAATCACTTGTAAATTATTGTTAATCTGTAGTTCTAAGTTACTGTATCTTGTAAATTTCACTGTGGGATCAATTATTTTCCAACAAATGTGATTACTTTACATCTACATTTAACTCCATAGTTCCACTTCATAAACAAACTATCTTGTCATTTTTTATTAGTGATTAAGCGCATTCCTTATCACCATGTTGTACTAAATTTTTCACAATACAAATATGTAAATAAATGTAGCTGGTAATTGAAATAAGGATAACTTTTTAGTTAATAGTTGAGTTCATGAGTCAATTGAAGCTAGACCACCATAGAAAACCTGGAAGAACTGGATGGTTGTTTCATCCTAGTATGAGACTTTTTAACAGTGTGCATTCACGATCCCGCTTGCGGAATTTAAACCCAGGACCTTCGGTTTTGCTCACGAGCTCTTAACCTCTAGATCACTGATCCGGCATCTAATGATGTTAATGTCTAACTTCAACTAATCCACGAAATTACGTTACCGTCCACCAATGTCTTCAATGAGTTACTATTTCACAACAGACTCGTTTGAATTGCACTAGTCACGGCTTTTCACTAGAACTTCTGGAAATTTTCTGTTAAATAAAACCAATATTTTCTCTTTATCACCTTTTCTCTTTCACTTTCTCATAGAAAAATACAAATTATGAATCTATAGAGTCAGAAGCCCAAATTAAACGTCTTGAAATGGAACGTGATAATTTAATTAATTTATTAGAATTAATTAAAAAACAACATCGTGAAGAATTATCAATTATGGAACAAACTTTAAAGTAAGTTTAATGCGTAGAACAAGAATCAAGATGAAATTTTATTTGCTATTTTTCATGTCGTTAATTTATCCAATTTTGTTGCTTGACATCATGAAATTACTTTAGTTAGATGATGACTGAAGACATAAATGCAGTGAACAGATGTTTATCCCTAATATGAGGCACATCAGAAGTAAGCATACACGAAATATTCAAGGGTCAAATCAAGAACTTTCACTCCTCCTCCTCATCATCATCATCAGTAGCAGCAGCGAAGTCTATTTTAAGTAGAAATAGGTGATAAAAAGCATCTAACTTGGTTACAAATCACTTCTCCACTATTTTAGCGTCGATTTATTTCAAAAATCAGTACTGATTAAATTATGTGGATTCCAATCTATTGGCGATTTTATTTAAAATGGTAGATCGCCTCCAAATGCCCTGGTACGGCTGAGAGTGAGGAGAGTCCGTTCTCCCTCTCCAAATGCTCTCACATGACCAAGCGTAAATAGCCTCTGCCAGGGAAGTCCTACTCACTGCCTTCTCGTGGCATCACTGTTGTTTACGAAAATGAGAGGACGAAAAGCGAATGTCCGGCACTTTAACCGGATTCCAAACCAATGGTGCACATGGGCTGGCTCCAGTATTCTGAAGGAACAAATGGCGTATGAACCAATCGTTGGTCACCGACTACTATGGGACTGCATCTCCTCACGATGCTCAACTACCTTGTGGGTCAGACGTTCAGGTCGAAAGGCTCGGGGTGTGGTCCCCTAAGAAAACCACGTGCTTCGGTTTGGGCACCCGGACAGTATCACAGCCCTCACACAAATCAATTGCGATCCGTGTGGCGCATATGTACTTGGTACCTCCTTGTACCTATACCTATGTGTTAAAATAAAATAAATAAAAATAAGATCGTCCTCAGCAATGGACGCATGGATAACCACCTATTCAAACATCTAGATCATAGGTGTCTTCGAAGCATTGCTCGTATATCCTGGGACCACCGAGTAGGCAATGCAGTTGTTAGGTGACAGGTACTAGGTAAGGATGACAAATCAATTGATGAAGTAGTGAAACTTCATCAGTTGAGATGGTTGGGACATGTGTTACGTATACCCATCCACTGACTACCCGGACGAGCGATATTTTAAAGGTGTAGGAGTACGTTGGAAGAAAGCTAGAGGCGGCCAGACCAAAACATTGCACAGATCCATGAAGTCACTGACAGGTGAACTGAGCCATGTTGGTAGGTGTAGACTACCTGGTTGAGATCCGTGAGACGATAGCAACCGATGGTTAGAGATCTTGAATGACATGGCTCAAAATGGTTTGCAATGGCGCAGGTGCATCCACTCTTTGTGTTCTCCCAAATTCTAATCTTCTTAATTCTTCATATCCCTTTTTTTCTCTTTCGAAATTTATTTCCCTGGATTGTACTCCTTGAATAACATCTTCAACCCCTAATGTTTCCAAATACTGTTTATACTTTTACTACCTCTACAACTATGGGATTTAAATCGACAATTGTATCTCTTTGCTAATGTGGTATGGCAACTTAAACTGATGTACGTTAGTACGTACATACGAAGTTCTACGTTGCGGCTGACTGGCTGACTGATTATGAGAAATCCTCCTGTTTTAAATCTATTATAACTAATATATTATAGTTGTTAATCACCGACGTATCACGACGCTAGTGATTGTAAATTTTAGGAGAAAATAATACCATAACGGTTAGTGTACCTTCATCTTTGTCTGTTCTTTGAAAAAACAATAGATGATTACATTGGAGTCCATAAAGTCGCTACCCGAATAGTTCGAACTGTAAATCTAATTGATACGGAGTTTGAATCCTATAGGAAACATCGGCTCAAGATTCTAGGTAAACCTTACTAATGAATATCTACTAGCACGAAAACTAGGTCCGACTACCTTTAACCACTTAACAGTCATCAAATATATTATGTAATCAACATAATGTCACAGAAGCTAATCTGGTCATGAACTGTTATGGATGAAAATAAATGACAGCTAACCACTGATCATAAACTCTTTTTATATATTTCTTTTTAATATTACCAAGTTATATAAATAGAGATAGTAACTTACGGATTTTTGTACTAACAGCTTTTTATTAATATTAAACTCCTTTACAATATCAGAAGGGTTTTTGCGGATATTATAGTAATTCCAATGGTTGAGATCATGAGTCAATTGAAGCTAGACCACCATGGAAAACCTGAAAACACTGGATGGTCGTTTCGTCCTAGTATAGGACTCCTCAGCAGTGCACATCCATGATCCCGCCTTGCGAGATTCGGACTCAGGACCTATTAGCCTCGCGCACGAGCGCTTAACCTCTTTTTAAAATGAATAAATCGATTACTGTTACTGTTATATACTACCGACTACTATTGTCATTCTTAATTATTTCCTTTTTTTGCAGAACTAAATTAGATTTGATTAAAGAAAGTGCAGAACGTAAAGAGAATCGGTAAATCAGTTTTCTTTTTACATTATTTCTTTGTTGATCAATATGCTATCCTCTTTTTTTACGTTGTATTGCTTAAAACCCCAGAAGTGATTGCATGGAATTTCAGTAAGTAAACACTTCCAGCTTTCCAAACACAGCTGATAAGTCCAACTCTGTTAGTTATCTAATGATTGTTGATTATACTTCCATATTTGTTTAATTATTGTCAAAGGATACCATAGCGAATAACCGAGACTAAATGTTACCGATTGTCTAGCAACGAAATTTCGATCAATAAACGTTTCATTGATTGGTAAAGAAGTGCTATATGAGTTGTTTACTCTCAAGCTGAAGTTATCGTTCACTCTACCTACCTTGATGTCCTATGTTGACCGAATTAACAGTAAGTTGAAAGAAAGCTAGAATCCGCCAAATCAATAACATAAATTCAAAAAGTCATTAACTATTGGTCTAAGCAATCCAATCACTCTTGATGGCGAAACTCTGGAAGACGTGGAATCCTTCACATACCTGGGAAGCATCGTCGATAAACAAGGAGGTTCAGATGCAGATGTCAAGGCGAGGATTGGCAAAACAAGGACAGCATTCCTTCAATTAAAGAATATATGGAACTCAAAACAACTTTCAACCAATATCAAAGTCAGAATCTTCAATACGAACGTCAAGGCAGTTCTACTATACGGAGCTGAAACGTGGAGAACTACAACAACCACCATCAAGAAGGTACAGGTATTTATTAATAGATGTCTACGCATGATACTCAACATCCATTGGCCGGATACCATCAGCAACAGCCTTTTGTGGGAGAGAACCAACCAGCTTCCAGCTGAAGATGAAATTAGGAAAAGACGATGGAAATGGATAGGACATACATTGAGGAAATCATCAAACTGCATTACGAGACAAGCGCTAACTTGGAATCCTGAAGGGAAGAGGAAAAGAGGAAGGCCAAAGAACACATTACGTCGGGAAATAGAAGCAGATATGAAAAAGATGAATAAGAACTGGAAAGAGCTTGAAAGGATTGCCCAGGACAGGGTTGGATGGAGAATGCTGGTGAGCGGCTTATGCTCCTTCACGAGGAGTAACAGGCGTAAGTAAAGTAAAGTATTGGTCTAAGCCATATGAATAGGTACAGACTACTTGGCTGATGCCTCCACAATCAACATACTTCAAACACAATTGTAGTAGTTCAGATACAATAATTTGTTTTCTTCTTTTTGATTATAATATTCAATATAATTTCAGGCTTTTTATTCTCTTATTTCATTCCTCTTCAATTCATATTGTCTATTAATTCAGTGTTGTTTGTTTAAGTATTAACTCTAGGATTTAGGTACATCCAGCTGACGAGTCCCAAATAGGACGAAACGCGCGTCCTGGATTCCACTGTTAACTATCATCCATCTTTGCTTATCATATTCTCTATGTTTTGTTTTAAGTGTAACTGATGCAACTATGACTGATAGAATTACTCACTAAACCTACTATTATTGAAGTTTGTTTATTTCTTTTCCTCATTTTTTTTCTATCTAAACTAATAATCTAACTAATTCATTAATTACAAGTTAATGTAATAAGCTTAAAGCTGAATTCTTTGTATATTTGCGTAGTGGGTTGTATGGTTATCTGTATCAATGTACATGTAACAAAGTTTGAATCTGTAATCTACTAATTGATAGTTGAATGCTAAATCAACTGCTCCATTACCAATAAAACCAGCTTAAGTATACATTACTTACTTACTTACACCTGTTACTCCTAATGGAGCATAAGCCGCCGACCAGCACTCTTCAACCAACTCTGTCCTCCGCCTTCTTTAATAGTTCCATTCATTTCTTGTTCATTTCTCTCATTTCTATCTCCATTTCCTAGTGTAATGTGTTCTTTGGTCTTCCTCTCCTCCTTCAATATTGAGGATTCCATGTGAGGGCTTGTCTCGTGACGCAGTTCGGTGCTTTCCTCAATGTGTGTCCTATCCACTTCCAGCGCTTCTTCCTGATTTCTTCCTCCACTGGGATCTGATTTGTTCTCTCCCACAGTAGGTTGTTGCTTATAGTGTCCGGCCAGCGGATCTGAAGTATTTTGTGTAGACAACTGTTAATAAACACCTGTATGTTCTGGATGATGGATTTCGTGGTTTTCCAGGTTTCCGCCCCATACAGTAGAACTGTCTTCACATTTGTATTGAAAATTCTGACTCTGGTGTTGGTTGCCAACTGTTTTGAGTTCCAGACGTTCTTCAATTGTAGATATGCTTCTCTTGCTTTGCCGATCCGCACGATCACATCTGCATCAGATCCACCGTGTTTATCGATGATACTGCCCAAATATGTGAAGGTTTTTACATCTTCCAAATCTTCTTCGTCAATTGTGATTGGATTGGTGCATGCTGTGTTGTATCGGAGAATCTTGCTTTTCCCTTTGTGTATATTGAGAACTATTGCTGCTGAGTCTGCTGCTACACTGGTCGTCTTCTCCTGCATTTGTTGTTGTTGCGTATGCGCTAGAAGAGCCAGATCATCTGCGAAGTCTAGATCATCCAAGTGCATCCTAGCTGTCCACTGTATCTCGTGCTTCCCTTCAGATGTTGACTTCTTGATGATCCAGTCAAAACAGATACCTTTTATTCAGTTTAACTAATCATTTAAATTTACTTCCCGTTTGGGAGTAATTAAAAACGTGGATATCCTGTATAAATCACAATGATGAGACTCTTTATTAAGTCAATCTACTTTATAAAATCTATGGCTAAGTATTTAAATAATCAGTTTTTGATTGAGATTATCAATCGAACAATGTTAGACCACCATTAAAAACCTGGAAGCACAAGACGGCTGTTTCGTCCTTTGCAGTGCGCATTCATGATCCCACTCTACTGAGAAGTCCCATACTAGGACGGAACGGTCATCTAGTGCTTCCGGATTTCCAATGGTGGTCTAACATCGATTGATTCATGATCTCAATCAAAAATGTAGCAATCTGCACAACCCCATATTAATAAAATTTAATTGCTGCATTTAAATTCCTAACATCGATCAGTTATCTGAATCTAAAATCGATCTCAAAGTCTTTATTTTAGATAATCTACCAGGCCCCTGTTACTACTCGAAAACATCATTTGTTTAGAATCACTAGTGAATAGTTGTTTATGACATATAGTATTCAATTATTCTGAATCCTACCTAGTATAGAATCATGGATACACACTATGGTGAAGTTTGTCACCGGTATAGGACAATTGGTTGTTCAAAATATTCTTAGAAAAATTTCTAAGTACCAACTTTTTATGTTCATTCTTTATCTGTCATATCAAAGATTATAACTAATACTAGAATTTTTTTATGGAAGTTTCTATCGACCCTAGAAATACATTCTATATTTTATAATCAAACTACTTTATATAATAAAGCTTATTTTGTGTTTGTCGGACTCTTCGGTAGTGGTAATCTACGATCCCGCTCACAGGATTTAAACCCAGGGCCTTCAGTCTCGAGCTCGAACGCTTAACCTTTAGACCACTGAACCGGCCGGTATCCAACGGTATTAATGTCTAATCTCAACCAATCCACGTAATTGCGCGACCATTTTCCATTATACTGAAGTAGAAACCTTTCTCTACCCGACAAGCATTAGCTTCACTGGTCAAGGCTTTTCACTAGAACTCCGAGAATTCCTTCACGTAGCTAGTCACTAGTGAGTACATGGTAATTATCAGTATGAGGTTGTGAAGATTATTAAATTTTTAATTGAGATCATGAACCGATTGATGTTAGATCACCACAGAAAACCTGGTAGCACTGGACGACCGTTTCGTCCTATTGTGAGACTTCTCATCAGTAAGCATTCATGATCTTGTTCGCGGGATCAATCGATTCTCTATTTGATTTTTATCTTTGATTAAAAAAAAAATTATCGTCAAGTGAGTTTTTTTTTTTAAAAAAAAATTTTTTCAATTTAGTCTTAAAGAAGAAATCAATTACCTTGAAATACAGAATCGTGAACGATTAATTCAAATTGAAGAGAAACGTGATCATTTATTAACAGATTTAACAAATAAATTAAATGAAGCACATCAAACACATCAACGTGAATTGAATGAATTAAAACATTCACATAAGTAAAACTTTGCTTTTGTTTTGTTTATTTATTTATTTATTTTTAATCAAAAATTCTATCTTTCAATTATTATAGGATGTAATGATGATTGATATCGTTTAATAAATAACAAAGTAATTTTCGTAGTGTGTCCTTTCTTTTAGTAGTCTCCAAATGCTCTGTCGTAGTTGAGAGTGGGGATAGTCAGCTCTTCCTTCCGAAATGCTCTTACTTAGCCACATGCATACAATAACTGTCAAGGAAGTCTTACTCACTGCCTTGTTTACGAAATTGAGAGGACGAAAAGCGAATGTCCGGTGCTCAAACCAGGTTAGTGGACATAGAAGGTTCATCTAGAGGAGTTGGAAAACCCTCATTACAAACCAATGGTGTTGGTCACCAACTACCATAGGACTGCATCTCCTTACATCGCTCTATTGTCATATGAATTAAACTTTTAGGTGAAATGCTCGGGGTGTAACCCCCTAGTAAAACCACCTGCCTCGGTTCGAGCATGCAGGCAGTATCTCAGCCCTCACATAAATCGAATGATTTATGTAGCGCATATCTGTTCGGTGCCTCCTTGTACCAATGTTTATGTGTTTAAATAATAAAATAATAATAATCTCGTAGTTTATCTAATGCCAGTTTATATGTATGTAAAAAACAGAGCCTTAGAATACTATAGACACTGGGCTGTTTAATATCACAGTTATGATTGATTCCCGGTAAAAATAAGGTTGCAATCAATTGGTAGAAAGCCATGTATTATCAAAATTTTTTGTTACTTATTACTTCCCAATAAAGCTTATCTGCAATATTGAGGAAACTGATGCTGCGCATAGAATTCATACTCATGTTACTACTCAGTTCCAATTAGCAACGCTTCCGCTGAACCATTCAGGTGGTGAATAACCTTTTATTGGACTGAGTTGTGCACGTTGATTGGTTAATAAATGGTGACTGATATAATCTTTTTTAGTTCTTTACTATTGAAAAGGTATTCTGACAATTGCCACTTACTACGAAACCTAGATAAAGCGTGATACTTTTCCCATTTCTCCTAACCAATAACTTAAATTAAAATAGATTGCCCCTTGATGTCGAGTCACCTACACTAGTGAAGAAATTCTAAATTGATGGTAGAAATCTGACCAGACTTAAGGGATCAGTAAACATTATTCGCTAACTTATTTTCATTATGAACAGAACATTTAATCACAAGGTGTGTAGATCAACCTAGATAAATGATCTCATTAGTATACTTGGTATTCAGCGATGTCGATCAACCCTGAACTTCACTTCATTAAGATAACTTTCCAACTGTTATCATTCATTTTTGATCCTTACCTTAACAGATTCTACAACAATATTTCAAATGAAATAAAAATAGATCACTCAATGAACTTCAGATTAAATGACACAATTTCTCTATCACTGAACTAAAAATATTATCTATTTATTTAGATATGATATGATGATTTATCCAATATAAAAAGTGGTTTAGCTCACAGATTGACTTCAGCTAGACAACCAATGAACAGTTACATCTTCCTAGTGTGAAACTCCTCAGTTGTTATTGGCTAAATTTCAACTTAGTGGTCTCTTAAGTTTAATCTCTTGTGAGGTCATGAACTCACAGTAGTAAACATTACCATGTTAGGATGAAATAATTGCTCATTTATCTCTAATATCTATGATTATTAAGCTGTAGTCAATTGATGGCAAATATCATTTTCAATGGTTAAGATCATGAGTCAGTTGAAGCTAGACCACCATGGAAAATCTGGAAGCACTGGAAGACCGTTTCGTCCTATTATGGGACTCCTCAGCAGTGCGCATCTATGACCTCGACCCCTGTGAGATTCAAACCCAGGACCTACAGGTTTTGTGAAACAATAGCTACTTAAGCATATAGTTATCGTAAATACTATAAAGTAGTATCTCGTTTTTTTTAAAAAAAAATTTCAGTGAAGAAATTGAAATGTTAAAAAGACATCATCAAGAATTAATAGATCGACTAAAATCTGCATCACAACTTGAAATACGTACAATCACTGAATTACAACCAAATAGTGAACAATTAAAAAATCTTTTAGATCAAATCAAAACTACTTTAATAGATTTAAGTAGATCACAACAAGAACAAATAAAAAATACAACAATACGACATGATCAATTAACAAGACGTGAAGAAGCATTACGTATACTTGAAGATAAATTAAATCAACGTGTAAGTGTTAATAAATTCGTTTGTTTGTTGTTTTTTTTCATTCATTACTGAAAGAAGTTAATGATAGAAATGTCTTATCAGTATAGGGTTGTGAAGTTTATTAAGTTATTGATTGAGATCTTGAACCGATTGGTGTTAGGCCACTATTGAAAACCTGGAAGCACTAGACGAACGTTTTTTCCTATTGTGTGATTAAGGTTAGACATCAGCACCATTGGATAATGGCTTAGTGGTTTATATATCAAGCGTGAATGTAAATTAATAATTGAATTCATGAGTCAAATGAAGCTAAACCACCATAAAAAACCTAGAATCACTGAACGGCAGTTTCGTCCTGTTGTGGGACTCCTCAGAAGTGCGCATCCACGATCTTGCTTGTGAGATTCAAATCCATGGCTTTTAGTCTCGCGCGTGAATGCTTAACCTACCAGACCATTGAGGCGGCCAGTATCCAACGGTCTTAATGTCTAACCACAACCAATACACGAAATTGCGCGATTTTCTTGTTGAAAGTTCTGTGATACCATACCGATCTAGCTTCAACTGACTTATGATCACAATTATTGAATTTACTACAATATCCACAAAAACCCCTCCTGATATTTTAAATTTGCTTTAACTAACTAATTATGTCAATTGGACTGTATGTAATTACTCGCTTACAAAGAATGTTTAAAGCATATTGCTAACCTGATTACTGAACAATTCAACAAGAGTACCACTATGATGGTTAACATATTTACCCGCTCCTTTTCTATCCTTTGAAGAAATGAGAATGCAACATTATAGAACTTGTTCATCAAATACATCATGAAGGCGCAATTAATCATAAACAACCAGATATAGATAGGAAAGGTAGCTTCTGTTATTAACTAATTACATTTTGTACGTATTAATTAAATAATCACAAGTTAAATGATTATACAAAGGGAGACTTGTTACAATTTCACAGGTTTTGTTGTCAAAATTATTTAGTGTTATTATATATACCTGAAGTTGGTGCTGATGATGTCGTTCGGAAGAACGATGAAAGCTCCACGATCAAACCATCCAGCTCGGTGAACAAAATTCCGTCAAAATCATCCACCTGAGTTACAACTCTTCTCCACCATCTCATATATATGGTATTCATTCCGTTTAATAAAAGTTGTATGTGCCTTGATTTTGAGAACTGTTTCAATGTATACTGATTCATATCTACACTTCCAGCATCCGAGTTATCAATGTTCTAGCTCTAGAGGGTATAAACAGTTTTTGCATCATTCTTTTCAAGCAAAGACGGATAGTGGCTAGCAGTGGAAACCAGGACGCGTGTTTCGTCCTATTTGGAACTCGTCGGCCGGATGTACCTGCATCTCAGACTTCTGGATGTTCACTCCGGGACTCGGACCCAGTACCGTTCGCTTCAAACGTCATCGCGTTACCCAATTATCTACTGAGTCCTGATAGCCGCCTGCTTGTGCAATGGGGTGAAGTTTAAATTCACTTGGTGGGAAGATACAAGTAAAACAACATCAACTATGTTTTTGCATCAATTCCGAAAGTCATCCCAGAAACACTTATACAATGCCCTAAATTTGGCTTTGTTAAAATACTAAAATGAGTCGTTTTTCAATAAAACGAATGTTATCACCAATCTTTTTGAAAAAAATCACTTCTTCAATAAGATGACTGCAGTTGTGAATAGTTTTCACTAACCAATTCTAATCAACAATCATTTTATTGAAATTACTAACTGATCTAGATCAGCCTAACACTCAATAATCTTCACAACCCTCCATACTGATGATTATCATTTTGTTTAAAATGATGCGTAATAATAGTTGCCAATTCACGTCTATCAGTAGGAATCTCAATTAAGATTTATCGAAATTCACACGTGTAGATGTTTATTTTAAAGAGTAAACATTTTATGTTAGAAAAGCCTGATTGTCCTACGTTTATGGATCTGGTCTGCACCTAAGAAGGGGGGGCACCATGACTTTCAACTGGTTGTTTCTAAACACCTAATATTAAGTTTCAAGTCAATGTGAAATTGTAAACTCCCTAATGATTCAGAGTTATTGTTTCACATTGTAATTTGAAATGACATGAGTTTGAATTCTACAGTAATAAATATAAAACCCAAGTCAAGTAGGATTTCTTGTCGATTACTTCACATAACCTACCATTGTAATAGCTTCATTTCGCAACATTATTCTATATAATTACAGTGCCAGTTATAAAGTAGGTTTCCAGTCGTTTATATATACTGGTTACTATTATATAACTTAACTTATCACTTGATTGGTCTTGTTGTAATTGATAATTATTTCTTTTCTTCTAGGAAACTTCATTGGATTACGAACGAAAACAGATAGCAGATTCATTTTCTAAATTAGAAATTCAATTTCGTGAACATACTAAATTGGCTACAGATGTAAGCTTTAAATGTTATAAATATTATTATTGTCTTATTGATATGATGAATCGGTCTAAGTTAAATAATCACTGAAAGTCTTGAAGACCTAAATAGCTATTTAGTCCTTGTATAGGACGCTTTAGCAACATTCATGCACGACCCCGCCATTGGGAATCGAACCTAGAACTTTTGATCTCCCACACTTTAGACCATTAAGTCGATATTTGGTGGTATACAGATGTCATTTAGATCAATCCGTTATATTACTCGACCATCTTGTAATTGTTTGCAAAGGCTTTTACTGTTTACATACCAGGTTTTATGTTATGCTAACTAACTAACTAACTGTTTGCAGAAACTTTACTCTGTTAAACAGCGTTGAAATAATTTCTTATTATGGGGTGGTTTTACAGTATGTAATTATTATTTCTAAAATTTAAGTTATGCGAAAGTTTAGAAAATGGAGAACTGAGAAACAATGAACACACTGAACAAGTTACAAGAAAATCCTTTCCAAATAGTTTATTTTCAAGGCTTTGTAGTCTAGTTTTTTTTTACTTCATCCTAGTGTATCTTTAAGTATGGCTTAACAAGGGGTAATTGCAGATCAGTTATATCTTCCACTTAGACATAGTAACGTAGTTGAATGTTTTTGGGATTTATAATACTGTAAAATGTGATATACATGACTAGGAGAAGTTCCGTTGGGATTAGCGAAATCAATGGACACAATGTGATTATCAGTATGAAGATGATAATGGCATTTGAATCAAACGATACTGGGTCCCAGTACCAGAGTGAACGTCAACTCTGGGATCTAGATACATGCAGTCGACGAGTCCTAAATAAGATGAAACGCGTATCCTTGATTTCACTACTAGTCACTATCATCTCTGCTTATAACGCTTGTGACTTAAGGCAATATCGAGGTAAGCCACACAGGATGCACATATGCTTATATCAAAAGGATCAATCGCAGTCCCGAATATAAATGAGAAAATTCAAATAACTGATACAAATTAATATGAAAATGAGTTCAAGTAAGACATCTTGTTAACCCAAAGTGATATATAGTATAGTGGGAAGATGAATGTTACAATATGTTATTCATTAAAATCAATACATTCGGAAAGATTCCGTATCTATGCTAACCTTGTCAATTTTAGATGCTTTAATCTGTTACAAATGTATGTCTATGACCCACACCATTTCTCACCGGTACTGCTAGCATAATGAACTTCTCTAATCCTCTAGATAGCTAGTCTACTCATTTTATATTCTACCACCTCTATGAATGATCAATTATACCACTACTATCAACTATTACTATCCATCTCTTTATTACAATTTGTAAGGTGAATGCAAGTTGTTTTACTTGAATCTTCCCATTGATGTTTAAGATTGAAATTGATTAGTCTCTTATTGGCATATGTGTATACTGTGCGTATTGCCTCGATATTGCCTTCATGCAGGTACATCTAGCTGACGAGTCCCGAATAGGATGAAACGCGCGTCATGGATTCCACTACTAGCCACTATCCATCTTTGCTTGTAAATGCAAGTTGTTTAAGAAAAACGTTGAGAAGTTTGATGTCAATACTGTCCAATTCTATTATATTAGGTTATAAGAAACTATTCCACATATTATACTCCAATACATTTCAAATATAATTGTTGTTTTTAATCTATGTAATTATCTTCATCCTTAGTTAATTTAGTGTAAGCTTCATTGTTTACTTTCAGCCCAGTGAAGTAATTTGAAGGAATAATTGCAGTTCTACATGGTACTTGATCGAATTACTTTATCGAATGCTAACTATTCTTTTTGCATTCTAAGTGTAATAGTTCAATATTACTTATTTAATATTTTATTTAGCAAGTATATAACTAAATTAATGAATAATTTCTTCATTTGTTTGTAAATAGCTAATATAGCATCAGTTCATGATGCATTCAACTGCAGATTACTTGGTTGATGTTCGCGCGATAACCATAATCAGTGATTTAATGTGTTTGGTGACATGATTTAGAATCAATCACAAGGGGGCATTTAGTTCTTGGTACCCCATTATATCTTTGACTTGAAAATGATCATATACTTTTTAATTTACAAATCCATTCTTCCATGTTAAACTAGATTATCAGTGACAAACGTTTTCTACTAGTATGATACTATTACTACTTCTATTGCTATGAGATTTATCTTGCTGTGCGTTTTTGCTATGATAACTTCAGCTGATACACAATATATGCCAGGTTCTATGTTACCTATGAATGATCGACTAAATGGTTAAGATCAACGTAAGGAGATACAGTCCCATGGTAGTCGGTAACCAACAATAGTTTCATACACCACTTGTTTCTTTAAAATCCTGGAACCAATGTGTACCATTGGTTTGTAATGAAGGTTTACCAACGCCGAGCTCTCGTTTTTCGTCCTCTCAATTTCGTAAACAACACCCCCGTCATGAGAAGGCAGTAGCTGTATACGTATGGCAGTGTGAGAGTATTTCGGAAGGTGTAGCTGACTCTCTCCACTCTCGGCTGTATCAGGACATTTAGAGGCCTTATATGAACAATAGTTGATATTACCGTAAATATCTGTATAAAATACACAGTTTTTATAATAAAACTGAAAATAGAATGAATATAATTTTGAGCTAATTCCAAAATTAATTAAACTTATGAACTTCAAGTTTCTATATATACAACCCTAATTGAATAACTAACGAATATCTTTCGGGGTTTATTTCTATTATTGGAATCTAGGATAGATGGTTAACAAAACAAGAACATGATAGATTGGCAAAAATTCAAATTAGTTTAGAAGAGGAGAGACGTTGTCTTATTGAACAGTCAGGTAGAGCACGTGCTGAAATGCAACAATTAGTAGTAAGTGAATTCTATTTATCTACTTGATATTATAAATACATGAATTGAATATAGTGTTGATTTTTATGGAGTATTTATCAGTCAGTCAGTCAGTTAGTCAGATACAACGTAGGACCATGCAACGTAGGCCATACCTCATTAGCACAACAAGATGAACACCGGATTCATAGAAGTAGTTAATTCAATGGTAGTAATATATAAAAGAAAGATTGAGTATTTATCATATATTAACCCAGGTTAGGGTTTGCTTCAAAATCAAGTAGCGGTAGGCAACTATTCCTTCGTATGATGGAATTTCTTAGTAGCTCAAATCCATGACTATCAGCAAGTGAACAGGTGAGTCGTTAACTATTAGACGATTAATTTGTAATCCAATTTTAAACATTACTAACATTAATTAATTCGTCGGCGACTACTACTAACAAGTTCCATACTATTGTCAAACATCTATTTGATATTTTATGGTTTTTCACTAGCCCCAGAACTGAAGCATATCTGTTACCAATACTGCCTACAAATAAAACATTAAGTCTTCACAAAACCTTTTCATGAATATCATAATGGGATACACCCATTAAGAATATTAAATAGGAGAAGATCGGTTCAGTGAAGAGTTCTCTTTTCGGCGAATTCATTTCCAAAGCTTTACAATCTCAAATATGCATACTTATACTTTCAGGATGATAATACTTACAATAATAATGATAATAAACTTTTGTTAGACATGGTGTCATTGAGGTAGAATAAACAAAGGTATTTAGGAAAATCCCGTGGGCGGGACCGGTGATGCGCACTGCTGAAGAGTCCAACAATAGGATCAAATAGCCGTCCAGGGATTCCAGGTTTTCAATAGTGATCTAACATCAATCGGTTCATGATCACAATCAAAAATTTAATAATCTCCACAATCCTATACTGAAAACTAATAATAGTTTGATTGTTATTGGCCTAAATATTCATCATAAAGATAGGGAAATTATCATTGGGAAAGGATGGTTCAGCACGATAAGATAAAATGTTGGAATTGCGATGAAATGTAATCAGGAGGATCATAGAAACAGAAATAAGCCAGTTGGGGATAGAAGGTTTAAAGAGAAGATGGAAGAGGAAGCAGATGGTTGTAAAGAAAGAAAAGTATGAAGAAAAAAATTATAGGAAATTAAGACCATGGTAGAAGAAGAGATTGTACAAATCCCTTTTGGATACACAATGCTGGTTCTCCAAGATGTATGATTATTGCTTTGGAAATGTTAAGAAGATGCAATATAATTGCCTTTGAAAGACTTTTGCTTACATAGTAGATGACTTTGAATGCCGAGCCCGTCTTGATTAAGTGACCTGTGCTCACAAGGTTTTCGATTATTGAACTTCTTATTGAGCCGTTTCCTCCTCTTCTCAGCCACGCCGGGTAATGTTCTTGAATTATTTTGGATAAAGTACGCATTGAACGACCTATATACCTGGCTCCGTATAGGCAGGTAAATTGGTAAACGCACATTGAGTCGGTCAGATGAGATAATTAATCCTTAAGATTATTGATGAACAATGATTGGATGATAATAATATTCTCAACGTTTCTGCGAAGAACATTCTCTTTAAGGAATCAAAAATTCTCTTCAAAACGTATGTAGCTCTGTCGCTCTTAAAGTCGTTGTTCATGTATAATGTTTTCTTTTCGACCGATGTTATTTGTGTTCTAGGCCGTTTCAGTTTTATGTTCTTATCACTGAATACCGACGGATACCCGTTTTTGATAAGTATTTCCTTCAGGAGGCCCAGTTGGTCATCTATAACCTTGGCATCTTGATTTTTTTCATTCTCGTAGCAAGAGATATTATGGCGTTTCGCTTTTAACTAATGGAGACCCAACTGTAAAAACTTAATAGTTGGTCATTCCACATGGGTGTTCTGTAAATAGATCTTCTTAGAATTCCATCTCCTTTTGTCATCATTCCCATAAGTATAACTTTGAAAATGAATTCACCGAAAAGAGGACACTTCACTGAACCAATCTTTCTTATTTAATATAACTGTTTCTACAACGTCAGCTTCAATACGCCGGAGTGCAATGGCAAGCCTCCATCTGGGCTCAAGGCATTCGTGATCATTTTGGTCCTGTAATTTATACCTAAAAATAAATCAAATTGATAGAATATAGAAATTCATGTATAATAAACTGATTTTCAAATCTTACTCTTTTAATATTTTAGTCTACTTTCATCAATGAACATCGTAATGCTCAAGCAAAAAATTTAGAAGAACGTAATTTAATCGCCGAAGAACATCAACGTCTACGTACAGAACAATTAAATTGGGAAGCGAAACAAAAATCAGATGAATTAGCTTTAAAAAAGGTTTGTGTATTTTAACTTTATTCTAATTGAATTATATTCAGTTAACTATCTAAAATTAACACCTTTGGATGCTGACTAAGTGGTCTAGAGATTAACCACTCGCGCGAGACTGATAGGTCCAGGGTTCGAATCTTGCGACCGTCAAGTACTTCCAGGTTTTCCATGGTGGTCTAGCTTCAATTGACTCACAATCTCAACTATTGAAATTACTATAATATCCACAAAACCCCTTCTGATATCTAAAATGTATCTAAATATAATTTGTATGTGGTTTGCTTCACAATTTTTTAGCTAAATAAACTGAAATAAGCGTGAAATTCCAAGATAGAGGGCAAAATGAATTCATTTGATATTGTTTACTTGTATTTTCCCATTGTTATTTAAGAATGAAATTGATCGGTCTCTTATTGGCATATATGCATCCTGTGCGGACTGCCTCGATATTGCCTTAATTCACAAGTGGATAACGCGATAGCATTTGAAGCGAATGGTAATGGGTTCGAGTCCCAGAATCAACATCAACTCTGAGATGCAGGTGCATCCAGCTGATGAGTCTCAAATAGGACGAAACGCGCAACCTGGATTCCACTGCTAGTCACTATTCATCTTTGCTTAGAAGTGAAAATGTTTCTGTCAATTCTATTGTGTCATGGAAACTACTATGAACACTTAGAATGAATAATTATTCAAATACAATGTATACTGTAAATCAGATGATAACACGTGGTTATATCAAGTAGAACTCATTAGTTATCAACGAAATTGGTTTACAATCTCATTGAAATTACATAAACATTTAAAACGTAAAGTTTCGAAAAATACCACACAAGCCGGAGTTAAAAAGGAGGAAACGTTTACGAGAATAGAAAAAAATATGTACGATATCATTGAAATAATTAAAGGATTGAATGGTATTATAATAAATAAGCATGCATCGTAATCAACATGTCATAAAACTCAGTGTGCATAGATAGGCTACTGAATAATAATAATAAGTAGTGTGATGTGAAGCAATAAAAAGACGGAACAAGGATTCAATGAAAAGTGATGCTGACGGGCAGGAAATATCATTTGTTTATGTTTGTGTTTTTTCACCGCTAGTATTTAGGAGTACACGTGATCCAGTATCTATTGATATGCTTTCACTCTAAGCGGGTATTTGAACAGAGTAAACAAGAGTGGAATCAAAGATGAACTTTTCATCTAGTTCATTGATTGTCACCTGGATGTTTCCAATGTTGATATTCACATTATATCTTGAACAAAATGCTTTCCATCCTCCTGATTTTGTATCCCAGTCAGTAACACATTTTGAATCGATGGTTATTAGGTTATTTAGACACAAATTTATAGGTATTCGTTTTTGATTAGTATTTGTGAGAATTATTCAACTACTCATTACAATGTATATCTTGCGAATAATCAAACATTAAACACAGTTTTTACAATGCTTCAACGTTCACAGTATATACATAAGCTGATTGAACCCACTCATGGTCAAATCGTGTGAACACGATACTGTGCATTATTTATTCACTTAAATCGGGTAGTTATTGGAAGTAATCAACGAGAAACTTTGGGGCTTAGTTTTGAACTGTTTCTCACTCGTAATCTTGAGGAGATTGATACTCTCCGGTGAGTTGGTCCCTTGGTGCAAGACTTTACTAAGCTACTGACACGATGACTGGTTTATTATAGGACTGCAATGTATTTACAATTGATTACCCATCGTTTCTTTCAAGGTCATAGGTACACCTTGCTAATAAGTGTCAAATATCAAGAAACCTAAATCCAGAATTTCCTATCGACAATCTTCAAGAACTTAACTTCAAAATATCGAGTTACTTAAACTTTTGGCCATATTACAACTTACCTAATAGAATTCAATCAGTACTAAAAAGAACTTACATACGCAACATTTATCACTACTCGGTAATCAATCAGTTATAAAGATTTATTCTTTTATCTATACTTGCTAACTATATGTTCGATCACTGGAAATCTTATTACATACAGAAAACTGAGGTTGTAAGTACGATTGATATTTAGATTTGTGTAGTAAGGACAGAAGGCCTACGGCCTATGTTATTCCTTTCCAAGTATGAATCTGTGTGTCTAGTCTTCTCTTGAATGAGTCAATTGAAAGTGCGGACGCCACTGCTTTGGGTAACAAGTTCCAAGTATTGATGACTCGATGTGATAACCTTTATGTCATGGGTATTTGGTTTGGCTATATGAGGGATACATCATACGAACAGTCTTTGTCTTAACCCATCAACAGCTTGAACAATACAAAAAATATACTTAGTATAATTACTGAAACATTATCTTTCCTATGTACTAATTAAAACAGTGTTATATTAACTACCTGGTGCTACGTTGTAGCTGACTGATTGACTAACTGACACTAACTGAAAATCGAATTACTGTGGGAGTGTTTCTATCGACTATTATCAGATGTATACTTTTAGTTGACTTGATAACATTATCATTAACTAGTTTAATGAGAAAATTAGACAGGTATTTGAATGTCCAATGTTTGTTGGTTTTTGTTTTTTCTAAGTTACATGAGCGATACAATTTAGTATATATATATATATATATATATATATATATATATATATATATATATATATATATATATATATATATATATAACAAGAATGATTATGTGACAATAGTTTCGTCTATTTGTTATTAGTTTGTTTACGAGTATTCTCTTGCATGATCACCTATGGCAAAGGTGAGATATTTGTCTATCAATTAAGGGACAAGTATACTGCTCAGCAGTTCGTTCTGTTCTACTTTAAGGCTGCGAAACGTGGCCATTAGGAGTCGAAAATACTCGTGGGCTACTAGTATTTGATCACACATGTCTTAGAAATATTGCTGGCATTTTCTGGGATCACCGGGTAAGGAATATTGAGGTTAGACGCAGGGTATTAGGGAATGATGATAAATCAGTTGATGAGGTTGTGAATCTTCATCGACTGAGATGGTTGGACCATATGTTGCGTATGCCTGAACACCGTTTACCACGACGCACAATGCTAACCGGTGTTATGGATGGTTGGAAGAACGTTAGGGGTGGCCAAACCAAAACGTGACATCAGTCTTCAGGTCACTAACTTCTGGTGTGAGCCATGTTGGTAGATGCAGACTGCCTGGTTAGGGTCCGCGTGACTATCATAACCAATGGTTGGAAACTCTGAGTGACATGGCTCAGAATTGATCACAATGGCGTCGGTGTATACACTCTCTGTCTTCCCTTAAACTATGAGATTAAAATTGCTTCATATCTTTCTTTTTACGAACTAATTCTTTCTTCCTGTTCTATATCCTTAGATACAATGTTTCTTTTATATATTACTACCACCACTCAATTAACTACTTCTATGAATCCGGTGTTCATCTTGTTGTGCTAATGAGTTATAGCAACTTGAACCGGTGCATATATGTGCCGGGTCCTATGGTGTAGCTGACTGACTGAATGTATTCCTGTATGCTAGTTTAATGTATAATTCATGTTTTTTTATAAGTAGAACGACTTTTTAAGTGTAATGTTGACTTTATTCATTAAATGTTTGCTTTTTTGGTATCAAATAAGTTTATGATATCTACAGGTTTAGTATTTATTTATTTTATTCAAACACATAAACACTGGTACAAGGGAGCACCAAATACATAAGCGCTACACAATAAAAATGAGGCCAGTAATAATTATCATTGATTTGTGTGAGGGATTTGATACTGCCCGGGTTCCCAAACCTAAGCAAGTGGTTTTCCTAGGGGGTCACACCTAGCGCCTTTGACCTGAAGGTCTAATTCACAAGGTAGTTGAGCGAAGTCAGAAGATACAGCCCCATAGTAGCCGGTGACCAACGATAAGTTCATACACCATTCGTTCTCTCAGGACCCTGGATCCCATGTGTACCATTGGCTTGAAATTAAGGTTTTCTCACTCTTCTAAGTCAATCCTTCGTATCCACCAAATGCTATTTAATTACCTAATTTATTCTGTCTAGTTCCTAACTTCAAGCGCTATTTGTCGTGAATCAGTTTCAGTTAAAGGGAAATTAAAAACTTGGTAAGATTGAATAACTGTTTCGTCCCATTATGAGAATCTTCAGAATTACAAACTCACATTCCAACCAGAAATTGGACCTAAGAACTCATGGCCAGCTTCCTATTACTAGATTAATAATTACTAGATTAATGATAAGCAGTATAAAATATGCCAATTATGAGGAATATCTATTTCTTGTAGATGAAATATGATAGTGTTACAGAATGAAGAGGCATTACCAATTACTTATTAAATAAGTTTATATTTCCATTTCTTTACTTCACATGGTCAAAGAGATATCTAGACAATTGAAGATAGACTAACATTCATAATACAAAACTATACATAGATGAAAGGTCAAGATTAAACGTAAATGAATGCTTACAGTATATATTTTCATAATTTGAATCACAAATTGATCTTAGTTAAATCACCGTTGAAAATGTAGTAGAACTGAATGGTCGTTTCGTCTTAGTATGGAACTCCTGAGAAATAAATAACTACGGTCGCACATCCGGGAATCGAACCTAGGGTCTTCTATATCGTATTTGTGATAATTACATATTTAAAGGCCAAATAAGCTCATTTAACATTTTGTATCTATCTGTCCTATCAATTCAAGATATGATTGTAAATTTGATAAGGTGTTTATTACATTCCAAGTGTATATAGTTATTTTTAAAAGTTTCCATGTTTGAAAACAAGAAAGGAATAAAAAATTGCAAACAGTAGAACACAACAAGCGTTGAGATAAATCCACTTAATATTGTTGTTCATTTGAATCTTCCTATTGATGTTTAGGACTGCAATTGATCAGTCTTTTATTGGCATATGTGCATCCTGTGCGGTCTGGCCTCGATATTGCCTGAAGTCATAAGCTTTATAAGCAAAGATGAATAGTGGATAGCAGTAGAATCTAGGACGCGTGTTTCGTTTTTTCTAAGGTTCATCAGCTTGATGTACCTGGATCTCAGAGTCGATGTTCACCCCGGGAGGGACTCGAACCCAGTACCGTTAGCTCCCAACGCCATCGCGTCACTCACAAGCAAGTGGCTATCTCGACTCAGTAGCTAAGTGGATAACGCGATGGCATTCGAAGCGAACAGTACTGAACTCGAGTCCCAGAGTGAACATCAACAAGTCTGAGATGCAGGCACATCCAGCTGATGATTCCCAACTAGAACGAAACCCGCATCAAACTGGATTCCACTGCTAATCACTATCCAATTTCGCTCATAAAGGGTTGAGATATATGCCAGTTTAAGATGTTGTTACAATAATGAAATTAAAAAATTAAAATGAATATGACCCCAGTTAACTATCATTTGTATATGAGGTGTTTTACATGCATGAATGACCTGAATAATATATATATATATATATATATATATATATATATATATATATATATATATATATATATATATATATATATATATATATATATATATACTTTCTATAGTCCTATATACAAGGTATGTATATGAGAATAGAAAACTATTACTATGCAAAAATTGAAATCATACAAAATATCAAATGTGATATGTTGTCTGTAGGATGTAGGACAGTTTAGTGTATCTCAATTATTAGTAATGAAAACCTTGAAAATCATAGATTAAATATTACATAATAATTGACAAGTGATTAATGAGTTCTCCATGTAGATAGAACAAGATCTTTGTATTCAGGATAAGTAACGAATTATACTCGTATACTCGGAGTGAACTCTGCCTGGAGTCCCGTTCGGGGCTACTACGCAAAATACTTCAGATCCTTTGGCGAGATACTATCAGCAACCACCCTTTGTGGGGGAGAACAAACCGGATTCCAGTGGAGGAAAAATTCAGGATAGGACACACATTGAGGAAAACATTCAACTGTGTCACAAGACAAGCCCTCACATGGAATCCTCAAGGCTGAAGGAAAATGAGAAAGACCAAAGAACACATGACGCCGTGAAATGGAGACAGATGAGAAGAATAAACAACAATTGAATAAAACTAGAAAGGAAGGCCCAGAACAGAGTGGATTGGAGAATGCTAGTCGGCAGCCTATGCTCCATTGGGAGTAACATGCGTAAGTAAGTAAGAATGCGGAGTGCTGAATACGCACTACTGAATAGTCTTATACCAAGATGAAACCTCTGCCCAGTACTTGCGTATTCACAATGGTGGTCTAGTCAAGGTATATGTTTAAGACAGTATTATCTTTTCGTATCATTGATTTCTTGTTCAACGTGGTCAATTATTGCCTATTTTTGATAGAAAACATTTTAACTGTCAAATTTTATTTGATTGACATTTTACTATTTAGGCTAAAGAAGATATTGATGCAATGAAAGAGACATTAGCAGTGGAACGTCAATCATTAAATGAAAAAATGAATAAATTAAGAATTGATGAAGTGAAATTAGAAGAAACTAGACGACAATTAGATATTGTTAGGTGATTTATTGTTGTGTTGTTTTTCCCTACATGAAAACGTATTCCAGTGTAAATACTTTAGATCATTAGTGATCAGTATGGGGTTGTGGAGATTGTTCAGTTTTTGATTAGGATCATGAATTGAATAATGTTAGATCACCATTGAATATCTAGAAGCAGTAGACGGCCTTTTCGTCCTATTTTGAGATTCCTTAGAGGTGACCAGTGGAGCTAATCCATGTCAGGAAGAGACAGATATCTACCTCAGTACGATAGATGATCGAGCAATTTCGTGAATTGATTGAAGTTAGACATTAACACCATTAGATGCCAGTTCATTTTTCTAGAGTTTAAGCGTTCTCAAGAGAAATCGAAGGCCCTGGGTTCTAATCCCGTGTGCCAGATCATGGATGCTTGCTGATGAGTCTAGTGCTGCCATGTTTTCAATGGTCGTCTAACATCATTCGATTCATGATCTCAATCAAGAAATTAATAATCAATTAGTTGATCAAGTTCACTGCGTTTCCTTATTTTCTACATACGTCATGTTTTCACTAAATCAGCCCTTCCAAGATTATTAACTTATCAAACAATGACGATCAACTTGATCTTTTCAGCATCGATCTTTGTGATTCAGTAATTGATTGGTTTATAAGAATTTAAGATATAGGAGATTTCATTGCGTTTCTATTCACTGGTGAACAGAGTCTATTGAATATTGAATAAGAACTATTTTCTGCACTTTACTAAAAAGTCTCAAATAAGATCAAATTATTCCTTTTATGGAGTTTTGTTCTCTGAGCTGGATGATTTAGTCATGGAGCTTTCATTGTTCTTCTAAACAACATCATCAGCATAAAGTTCAAGTAGAAATGAAATGTTCTCCATATATGGCTCATATATGAAGATGATGTCGTTCAGAATAACAATGATAGCTCTACGACCAAACCATCTAGCTCAAAGGGCAAAACGTCACTAAAAATCATCCACCTTAGCTATAAATTGTTCTACACCATCTCGAGATCAAATTATATATTTCAGTAGTTTATTGTGATAAAAGAGTTATTCTCAAAACAGTCTACGGAAGTTTATCAAATTTTTAGAAAATGAAATCAAAATACAACAATGTTTTCTCCTATATTTCTATCTCTTTCGAATATACTACGATTTTATGGTAATATGACAATGATACTATTCACGTTTTTATCACATTCAAGATACACAACCTAGAATAAAGAACCAGATCAACATTAGATAATGCTTTATGCATTACAGTTATAAAGAGTTTTACTCAGTGAGTCTAGAGTGAGAATCATTGAGAAGAAAGAGTATCACATATTTAGTAGTCAATAGGCTAAGTGCCTACTGATGGAAATAACGCTCTCATCGACTGAATTCTCGGGTATTGATCTCCTACCAGGAGGTCCACTTATCGAATTAGAATACGCAGATGACATAGTCCTGTTTGGTGAAGACGCTGATGAAATACAGAGTCTTTTGGTAGCACTGAGCAACAATGCCAGAATGTTTGGAATGCACTTCCCCCCCCCCTCTAAATGCAAGTTGTTGCTTCAGGACAGGTCTGCGTCAACTAAGGATAGGATCGGGAGTGAAGTAGTCGAACGCGTTGACAACTTCACTTATCTTGGAAGTCTGATCAGCCCTAATGGGTTGGTGTCTGACGAAATCTCAGCACGGATTGGAAAAGCTCGTTTGGCTTTTGCCAACTTACGTCATCTATGGTGAAGGCGAGATATCCGTCTATCAATTAAGGGACGAGTATACTGCGCAACAGTTCGTTCCGTTCCACTATACGGCTGTGAAACGTGGCCAACAAGGGGAGAAGATATTCGTAAGCTACTAGTATTTGATCACACATGTCTTAGAAATACTGCTCGCAACTGCTGGGATCACCAGGTAAGTAATAGTGAGGTTAGACGCCGCAAGGTATTAGCGAATGATGGTGAATCACTTGACGGGGTTGTGTATCTTCATCGACTGAGATGGTTGGGCCACGTGCTGCGTATGCCTGAACACCGATTACCACGGCGCGCAACGCTAACCGGTGTTAGGGATGATTGGAAGAAAGTTAGGGGCGGCCAAACCAAAACGTGGCATCAGTGCTTGAAGTCACTAACTTCTGGTGTGAGCCATGTTGGTAGATGCAGACTACTTAGTTGGGGTCAACCGGTGACTATCGTAACCAATGGTTGGAGACTTGGTGACATGACTCAGAATCGATCACAATGGCGTAGGTGTATACACTCTCTGTCTTCCCTTAAACCTTGAGATTAAATCCACTTCATATCTTTCTTTCTACGAACTAATTCTTTCTTCCTGTACTATATCTTTGGTAACAATCTTTCATTGATATATTACTACCACCATTGAAGTAACTACTTCTATGAATCCAATGTTCATCTTGTTGTGCTAATGCGGTATGACAACTTGGACCGATGCATATACATGCCTCGTCCTACGTTGCAGCTGACTGATTGACTGAGGCTAAGTGCCATTATGTTCATACTCAGTGACCAAACATATTCTAATTTCACTTCCACAGATCCCTTTTCAAAGTGATAACTTTAAGATTCCATATGTTGACATTTGATTGATTGAATTACTTGATGAAGAGTAAAATAGGTGACTACAAAAAGATAATCATTAGGTGGGATCTTTTTTGAATGAATGAATGAAGATATATAGATTTATTTAAATGTTATCTTTTACTTTTTATTTCGTCATTTATTTCTTCTTTTATTCAGATGTGATCTTGTTCGTGAACAAGAAGTGTTAACACATCGTGAAGAATATTTAGATCAACGACAAGATGAATTAAATAAACGTGCTGAAATTTTAAATCAAACAGAGAAACTTTTAAAAGAATCTGAAATTCGACATCGTCGTTTACAAGATGAACAAAATAAACAATTCACTGAACTACAAGAAAGAAATCATAAATTACATGAAGTTGAAAAACAACTTGTTCTTGTAGGTTTTTATTTTTGTTGTAACTACTAATAAGTAGTTAATTAGTATAAGGAGTTAGTTAAAGAGGTTTTTGTAGAAACTGATTCAATCTGTAAGGTATATTTGCTACAGATTGATTTTTGTTGGTTAAGCTTCCCTTGTCTTAGATGAGTTGTGTCTGTACACTTCTGACAAGTCTCATACTAAAACAAAACAGATATTCAGTACTTCTTGGTTGGTAACAAATCAAGTCATTCTCCTTAAAACATCTTCAACTAAACTACAGTAGTTAGATCTTTAATGACTTACTTTAAGATACCCTTAAGATTCTAATAAAATTTGACTAATGGGGTCCAGATATATCTGGAGTAAAACAATTATCACCAATGGTATTTACTTATCATTACGCTTTAATTCAAATCTATTAAAACTGTAATTGTACCATTCGATGGAAGCTAGAGAGTTCTAATTGTTAAGTGTTCGAAGTAAGACATAGAATGTATTAGCTTTGATCCTTGATAGGATTGTGATTATGAACTATCAATAGACTCATGTATACATTGATCGACTTCTAGTGCTTCTTGGCCTTTAATGGTACCTTGACTAAGATCAGTTTGTAACGAATACGATTATTAGTTTTAATGGATACACACAATACAACTACTACTGATATATATATATATATATATATATATATATATATATATTTACTGAAGTTATTTTAATGATAGACGCTAGACCATTCCTTCTGAAATTTTTAAAACCACAGTACATAATCACATACTCTTTAAGCATAATTGAACCATCTTTTGTAAATCAGATGTTTACTTACTACTACCTTTACAAAATACACGGGTCTTGAGTACTGTACTATCTCCTTATACACAATCTTTCTTCTATATATTACCACCACTGAATTAACTACTTTTATAAATCCGTTGTTCATCTTGTTGTGCTAATGCGGTATGGCAACTTGAACCGATGCATATACATGCCTGGTCCTACGTTGCAGCTAACTGACTGACCTTTACAAAATAATAAGATTATTTTACAGTTTATGATTCAATCATCCAACTCAAAGAACAAAAACCTTCATCGAAATCATTCACATGAACTACAAATCTTCTTCACCTAAGAACTATCTACCTTCCATAGCAGAGGCAGAGACTATAAGATAATATTATTTTCCAAGATAGTCTGAATAGATGATTTATGAAAATTAGTACAATTTAACAAATCATTTAACATCGGTAATATTGATCTGATTCTCCAAGATGAACAATTTTCATCAAATTACAGAATGTTTGTATGATATAATTTTTTTTCTGGTAAAATTTGTATGTAAATTTTTATTCCCCCTTCAGTAATCATATTAAGGTAGATAGTTAAGGTTTGATTTATCCCATTTTTGATATATGCTTTGTATGTGAATGAAGACAACTAGTGTGACAGAAGCCTCTGAATCAATAGGCCTTAATATACACAAAGGAAAAAGTAAGGTTCTCAAATACAACACGGATAACACCAACTGAATCACACTTAATGAAGAAGCTCTGGAAGATGTTGAAAGCTTCGTGTGCTTGGATAGCATCATCAATTAACAAGGAGGATCTGATGAAAATACGAAGGTAAGAATTGGCCATACAAAAAACAGCATATGGACAGCACATATGGAACTCAAAACGACTGTCAACAAATATCAATACGAACCTCAAGACAGTTCTACTGTATAGAGCTGAAACTTGGAGACGTACTACAATCATCATCAAGAAGGTACAAGTACTTATAAACAGTTGTCTATGCAAGACACTCAATATCCATTAACCGGATACCCTAAGCAACAGCCTACTGTGAGAGAGAACAAACCGGCTTCCATCTGTAGAGGAAATCGGGAAACATGATGGAAATGGATAGGATATACATTACGGAAATCACCAAACTGCATCACGAGGCAATCCCTAACTTGGAATCCTGAAGAAAAGCAGAAAAGTGGAAGTCCAAAGAACACATTACCTCGGGAAATAGAATCAGATACGAAAAGAATCAATAACAACTGGAAAGGGCTGGAAAGGATTGCCCAGAATAGAATTGGATGGAGAGTGCTAGTGGGCGGCCTATGCTCGTCCACGAGGAGTAACAGGCATAATTTCTATACGGTTTGCCTCCATATAGCAATTTCTTCACGAATTTTTTTTCAAGATCAATAGATTATGTCTAGTGGTAGAGTAAAGGACCTGAGTTTCGTCTTGTTTGAGTCTTTTCAGCTGAATGTATATACATCAAACTGTTGATGTTTAGTTAATATGACATTACCTAATACATTAAACTGACAAGCCTTAAGTTCATTCCTTCCTGTGTTTTTTTTTCTCCATTTTGTTTTGTTTTCAAGGAGAAAAAACAATTAGCACAACAAATGGATAAATTAGCTAAATGTAAATTAGAAACAGATAATCATTTAAAACAATCAATGTGTTTAAATTGTCGTATACCAGTTAAAGAAAATGGTTCTACACATCGTTTACATTATAAATTAGATAATGATAATACAGTAATGAAAACAAATCAAAAACGTATGATAACAATGAATGGAAATAAGAAAGGTAAATTGTAATTTTTATCAACATACTATTATAGTGAACGAGAATACAAGTGGAAACAATCGAGAGTGTTTGAATTCATCTCAAACTTCATTCTTCCTGGATTGGTTAAAGTTATATATTAAAACCGCTGGATACCGGTTTAGTGGTCTAATGCTTAAGCGCTCACGAGCGAGATTGATAGGTCCTGGGTTCGAATCTCGTGGGAAGTGAGACTGTAGATGTGCACTGCTGAGGAGTCCCATACTAGGACGAAACGGCCGTCCAGTGCTTCCAGGTTTTCCATGGTGATCTAACTTCAATTGACTCATGAAATCAATTATTAGAAAATAATGCATCTATTTGTGTTAATGTAGTTTGACAATTTGAAATGAACGAGAGGAGGACTATTGAATACTAAATAACTTTGAATAACTGTTCTATTCTAGTAATAAATCATTTGACAATAGTGTACTTTCTTAACCCTGGATATTGACTTAACAATCTAAGTTTAATATTTACACTTTCATATCCATTTCAACTATTGAAGTGAGAATGTTATTTATACTTAATGAATGATAATAATTAGTTATATTGTTATTATGTATTTAATAGAATGAATGAGCACTAAGATAGTTTTCTTTCTTACAGAATTAAGTAATGGCACATGGAATGATGTTTCACAGTTACATACTTCTCAAGATCGAGTAAGTTGCGCAAAATTTTTATTTATTTGAACACATAAATATTAGTAGAAAGGGGTACCCAATAGATAGGAGCCACATAAGTCACTTGATTTGTATATGAGGGATAGGATACTGCTCGGATTCCCAGACCATAGCAGGTGGTTTTTTTAGGGGGGGGCACATCCGGAGCCTTCGACCTAAAAGTCTGATCTTTAACGCAGTGGGGCAACGTCAGAATATGCAGTTTGCGGAAGCACTGGACGACTTTTTCATCTTATTATGGGACTCCTCAGTAGTATACATCCACGATCCATGGTGGTGTAACTTCAATTGACTCATGATGTCAACTATTGAAATTACTACTATCTCCATAAAATCCCTTCTGATACTAACCGTTAACAATGTTTAAATTAGGTAGTCGCCTTAGTATACAAGAGATATGTGGTATGAAACGAAAGATGTGTGAAGATAACCGATTCTCTGTATTCATAATTGGTATAAGAAGAAATTTCATTCACAATATATTGCTTCTACAATACGGCAAGACTAGAATTTATGTGGTTTTATTCAATATTATAGATTTTGGTAAAATATAGAATTCTCAACACAAAAACTATTTCAACAAGTTTCTTTTACAGAAACAAAGACAAAAAAAAGGTTGACAAAAAAACCCCTGAAAAAACTGTACAACTTTCCAAATGAGATACATGTTAAGAATGTAGGTTATTGACTAGGTTAACTCTAACAAGCTGTTCGTCAACAGAGTATATTTGCTAGGTAAGATATTATAGAACTTTTATACTATTGCTTGCATGCTTGGATTTTAATGTAATTTCGTCTCATTCTACCAGAAGATATACAAGGAGAAAGTTATGAGTGAAGGGGATGGTTAGTATCTGATAAAATAACACATGCCAGGAGTTTGCATGACTTTAGATGTCTATCCACAATCATATTAATTATGGTCTCGAAAGATTCACCACATACCTTGCTAACTGCCTTCAGCACTCTCCTTTAAATACAGCAAAGTCTTTTCTCAAAAGCCCGGGAAAGAATAATGGAGAACAGTAAAGAATAATAGGTAATATGCAAGAATTGACAAATTGTAGGAGTAAATGACGAGTGATCCCAAGAGCATGCAATCTCTTTATTTAGTAAGTCAGACGGAAAACCTTCTTCGATAACAATAAAACATGAGAAGACCAAGAGAGATCAGAGAAAAACGTAACACTAAGATAATTGACCTTCCACATTATGTTTATCTCAAAGAGTCTCCAATAGCACAAGCATTATGGGAATCTCAAAATGGTGTTTAAATGCCGTTCATGTCTCATGCTAAAGTTAACAGCTGAACCATTAACAACAAACCAACAATCAATACGAGACAAAAACTCATTTATTTCTATCGGATGTAAAGAGGAAGAGATAGGCATACAAACAGTGAGATCATCCGCATATTTCACAAGAGTGTTTACTATGGAAGATGGTAGATCATGCAGAAAAAAAGAGAAAAGACGAGGTGAAAGAACAGCTCCTTGTAGTACACCTTCATAAGACACTAGAGACTCTGAACACTTTCCTCCAAACACTGTGTACTGTTCCCTTCCAAAGAGGTAGAAACATAGCCAGTTGGTTATCCAGCTGTCAGTGTTGATGCTGATTAACTTGTTAAATAAACGTTGTCTTGATATAGAATCAAAAGCAGAAGTATAGTCCAGGAAAGCGTATCGAACATACTTCTTACCCTTTTCTAAGTTGAACACTACAATAACAGATCTTGAATTTCAACGTGAAATTCATTCATACATTTGACTAAATAAAGTTTTGTCATTATAACTGATCGGAGTTCCTGAGAAGATTGTCAACATTATCCGGGACTCATACGATGGACTACAGTGCAAAGTAGTGCATGGAGGACAGCTGACTGACGCATTCCAAGTAAGGAACGGAGTAAGACAAGGCTGTCTACTCTCTCCCTTCCTGTTTCTTCTGGTGGTCGACTGGATTATGAAGACCTCGACATCTGAGGGAAACTACGGCATACGATGGACAGCTCAGCACCAATTAGACGACTTGGACTTCGCAGATGACCTAGCCCTCCTATCACATACACACGAACAAATGCAGATAAAGACAGCCAGCATAGCAGCAGTCTCTGCATCAGTAGGCCTCAACATACACAAGGGGAAAACCAAGGTCCTCAAACACAACACGGAGAACAGCAATCCAATCACTCTTGATGGCGAAACTCTGGAAGACGTGGAATCCTTCACATACCTGGGAAGCATCGTCGATAAACAAGGAGGTTCAGATGCAGACGTCAAGGCGAGGATTGGCAAAGCTAGAGCGGCATTCCTTCAACTGAAGAACATATGGAACTCAAAACAACTTTCAACCAATATCAAAGTCAGAATCTTCAATACCAACGTCAAGGCAGTTCTACTGTACGGAGCTGAAACGTGGAGAACTACAACAACCACAATCAAGAAGGTACAGGTATTTATCAATAGATGTCTACGCATGATACTCAACATCCATTGGCCCGATACCATCAGCAACAGCCTTTTGTGGAAGAGAACCAACCAGCTTCCAGCGGAAGAGGAAATTAGGAAAAGACGATGGAAATGGATAGGACATACATTGAGGAAATCATCAAACTGCATTACGAGACAAGCGCTAACTTGGAATCCTGAAAGGAAATTAAAAAGCGGAAGGCCAAAGTACACATTACGTCGGGAAATAGAAGCAGATATGAAAGGGATGAATAAGAACTGGAAAGGATTGCCCAGGACAGGGTTGGATGGAGAATGCTGGTGAGCGGCCTATGCTCCTTCACGAGGAGTAACAGGCGTAAGTAAGTAAGTAAGTATTATAACTGATGTCAGTTCGTGATGTAAACTCTTAAATTGAATTCTTAACTTTAACTATCAACTATAAACTATAATTCAAATCTTTCATTTAGCCATAGTATATAAGATGGATAATCCTCAAGATCATTTTAGCATCGATCCATAATTGTTCATAAACTATAATCTAACCAGAATTCTACATTATACTTAATATTTGACATTGACATTTTATTGTTGTTTTTCTTTACATTCTCAGGAATCTATTCATTTAAATGATGAATGAGAAGATACAAAATAAAAAAAATTGTTTATTTTTAAATAATCCTTAGATACTACTACTATTATGAATATATGTGAATAGGAAACAGTTTAGTTTGTTTCTTTGACTTGATTCACTTCTCCTTTACTCTATTTATCTCACTCCTTATCTCTCAATCTCTCCCCCCCACCTCTCTATCCCTATCTCTCTCTATGTATGATTCCCTTTACCTATATTATTCTATGTTTCTATTTAAAAGTAAGAAAAAAAAAAGAAAAGAAATCCTATTCATCATTTCATTGTGTTGTTTATACTGTTGATGGTAATATTTATAAATTAAAGTTATCACTAATACCATAGTAATGTAAAGTTTCAATATGTATATTATCATTAGTGATAATGATTGGGTTGATGAGAATTATTAAAGAGATTATTATTGATGAATGACCTTCAAATGACGCTAAAGTAACCTTGGGAATGTTCACCTACTATTGATAATTAAATGAAAGTTATAAACTAATGTGAAGAATTAGAATTATGATTTACAGTTGATAGTTAAGGTTAGTGTTATATCTAGAAGCTTAGATTCTTAATATTATCGCATATAACATAAGCACTCAGACGGTAGAACATTTGGAGCCCATTATTTTGTCATTATTTTAGATCAGACGATGTTTGTTGACGGGCTCTTCAGTTTTGTGGCCCGATATCTGACATCAAGTAGATCATATGCATGTGTGTTATGGCCTATCCTTGTATATAATCATCGACTTAAATCGCGTTAGTCAATAACGGAATTAAAATAAATCAAATAACGAGAATAGACTTTTGAATACATACACTTTGTATATGAAGCGAATGGAATAGAGCGGAGAGAAACGATGAGCATTGGACATGGCGGATAAGCCAACTCCCATTTAGTCAAGTGTTAATCAATATTTAATATCACACGAAATTAAGCTGCAGACATGTAATGAATGAGATAAGAAGGGTACATGAGATTGATTAACAAGGTCAAAATGTGACTCAAATAAAATGAATACATTGGCCCAGATCAAAGCTACAATAAGGTATATGGGCTTAACATAATAACTAACTCGCTAAAAAACGCTAACCAGAAAAAATAACTCAAACCATTTAAACTCTGCCCTGGGAGTTAGAGGTAATATGACGCTTCATGGTGAAAGCCAAGTTCTTTGGGAAGCCATGAGGCCGATGCCCCATCTAAAAACCAGAGCAACAATTTTTATAGGTACATGGAACGTCCGGACAATGTGGGAGAACGGGAAGACCAGTCAAATAGCAACGGAAATGAGGAGATACAACTTGGCAGTACTGGGAATCAGTGAAACCCATTGGACCCAAGCTGGAACTCAAAACAACTTTCAACCAATATCAAAGTCAGAATCTTCAATACCAACGTCAAGGCAGTTCTACTGTACGGAGCTGAAACTTGGAGAACTACAACAACCACAATCAAGAAGGTACAGGTATTTATCAATAGATGTCTACGCATGATACTCAACATCCATTGGCCCGATACCATCAGCAACAGCCTTTTGTGGGAGAGAACCAACCAGCTTCCAGCTGAAGAGGAAATTAGGAAAAGACAATAGAAATGGATAGGACATACATTGAGGAAATCATCAAACTTCATTACGAGACAAGCGCTAACTTGGAATCCTGAAGGGAAATTAAAAAGCGGAAGGCCAAAGTACACATTACGTCGAGAAATAGAAGCAGATATGAAAAGGATGATTAGGAACAGGAAAGATCTGGAAAGGATTGCCCAGGACAGGGTTGGATAAAGAATGCTGGTGAGCGGCCTATGCTCCTTCACGAGGAGTAACAGGCGTAAGTAAGTAAGTACTGGAGAAGAAAGTGCTTGTTGGGCAAGAATCAAAATACACAGAAAATCAAGAGTATTTATAGATATTAGAGTTTGTTAAATCAACATTATCATTCAACCAATCTACAAAGAGGCGTGTTATGCTACTGACCAATAGTAACATACCGTCCTAACAGTTAGCAATTAGATTTAGGTGTGTTCATCATGAACTAACATCAGCTATAATGCCAAGACTCTATTTGTCCAAATGGATGAGTGAATGAATTTTTCGCCAAAATCCAAGACCTGTTTTCTTAGATCGTTCATAAATTCTAGTCTCACCGTAATTTTTTTGCTATTATTTTCATTACTATTTTCGAGTAACAAACGCAGTCGCGTCAAACATATTGTGGGATTCCTGAGGGTTTTTAACGACTTGGGAAGTTAGGTTTTGTTTCCCGCTAGAAATAGATCGAGCCTTGTGATTGCGGTTCCTAGGAGTTTTCTGCTGGATACCATTTAGAACACAGAGGACAGTAGAAACCTTATTTCTTGAGTTTTTAATTAAGACAGACCTCTTTGAAGACTGTCTTCCCTCCTTTGGTCGATGTGAGTCAGCTGTTTCTGACTTCACTTGAGTTTGCTCCACATCTTTTTGCGTGTCGACAGAGCGATTGCTGTCCGATGTGTCCCGACCGCGCTTGTTAAAACACTTTTTTCAGCATTTACCATTGAGACGGCCTTGGTTAGCAAGCTATCTACGTCCGAACAGCACTGCAGACAAAGCCCTACGCAACCATTTTTACTGAACCATTTGAAAGCCATAGGCGTCAAATTTCTGCAAACTTCATGATACCAGTCTTTGCACTCATCGCACTGCATGCCGCTTTCAACGGGATCTAGACAGCCCAGAAGTTGGTAATTACTTTTTTTGCACTGTTCAATCATCAAACAGAGGTCTTTTTTTTTAAAAAAAAGACTAGATACAACAGAACCCAAAGATGATCGATGATCAAAGAAAGTGGGAAAGTGTAAATTGTTAGAACCAAAAGTACTAACAAATACAATAGAAAACAAAGTACTCCAATGTACCGACGATAAACTATTTTCGAAACAAAAACGATACTCTTATAGGATACTTTAACTGAAATAAATTCAATTAAAGTATAAACAATGGTCTTGATACGTAATAAACGATCAAAACGATAGAATTAACTCAGCGAGGAAAAATACCACCATCCCTTTAAGTAGTACGCAAAGTTCTCTTTCAATACTTTTTAATTTTGAGTTTCATACGTTCTTCAGTTGTAGAAAGAGTGAGAGTAAACAACCTTGCCTGTCGCCGGTCTTTACTTCGAACGAGTCTGTCAGCTGTGCTCTATGCACGATTTCGCAGTTCAATCCACCATAGGAATTTCATATGATATTGACTATCTTCTCAGGCACGCCGTAGTGATGAAGAAGCCTTCCATAGGGTTGTCCTGTCCACACTATCAAATGCTTTCTCGTAATCAATGAAGTTGATGTAGAGCAATGAATTCCATTCAAGTGATTGTTCCACAATGATCGTAATGCTGTGATTTAGATCGATACTTACGGAATCCAGCCTGTTGGTCTTGAAGTTGGGCATTTATAGAGTATTATCAAATTAAACATTCACTTGTTATGACTTTTGCCTCTATCATTTATCACTTGATGAAATCACTAATTAGAATGTCAACTTATCTAATCTTGTTCTTATGCTAAACCAATGACATGTCAATCAACACAAACAGTCATGTTTCAACTCTTAATCTTTATTGATCCTTCTCAACTAGCCCTACTCGTTGAGTTCAAAATGCCTCCGTTATATGAATCATGTATTTCAGACGTGAGCACTTTATATACAGGCAAATTAGACTGCATCATACCAACAAATCAAAGATAATAATTATAAAAGATCAAGCCAAAAGTGTCTATGAGTATAGGAAACTGTAACTAATAGATTTGAAATAAGTTAAGAATAATAAATCGTATCATATTAGCCTCTATGTCAAATGAGAGCTTATAATAAAAGGAATATGAATATCCATATAATATAATTACTTAATATAATAAGAATATTTGTAATAATAGTTCATAAATAATCTATAGTAGTGACCATTCATTTATTCCCCGTTTGAATGTTACACTACTTAGATGTACCCTTGATCTAATGGCAAATAAAAAATGTATCCTGTTTACCATCAAAGATAACAACTATACGATAACTGTTGTGATTTACGGTGTCCGAAATCCGATACTGATGCTTAGTATGCTATGTTCTAACTCCGTAACTGACTACTTGAGCGAAAACACAAGAGTAAGCGATAATGTGTATTGGACTACCAAATGACATGCATAGTTACTCATTCGTATATATACCAGTCTAGGACCTATGGGAATTTTTTAGCGATTACTTTAATGTATTGCCAAATTTCTAATACCCAGTTGTAACTGATGATGTTCAAATATGTTTAAATTGAAATACTTATTACTAATAGCAATGGATAACTATCTCATCATATCACAAATTGATAGAAGTCACAATTGTACTACTAAACTTCAATTAAGTGGTTCTAATGGCTAAGCATTGCTAACGAGACATAAAAGTCCTCAGTTCAACTACTCGTGAGATCATGTGTACATTACAGAAGTCTTATAACACGATAAAATAATTAACCAATGATTCCTGTTTCTTAATGATTATTTAATTTCAATGGTGGGAATCAGAAGTTAATTGAAGCTAGAATACCATAGAAAACCTGGAAGCACTAGGATTGGACTCCTCAGCAGTACACATCCACGATCCCCCTCTCGCGAAATTTGAACGTAGAACCTATCAATCACGTGTACCAGAGTTTAACCACTAGACCACTGAGCTGGCCGGCATCCAACGGTGTTAATGTCTAACTTCAACCAATCTACGAAATTGAGCGACACATCCAGCCCATGCTCTCATCATCATCATCATCATCATCATCATAGTAACAATAAATATTAAACAAATTCAATATAAAATATCGAATTTAATTGAAATTCACCACTTTTTTTACGCTTAATTATCATTGGTATTATTCTAATGGTCATAATAAATTGTCTCCTTCTCCCTCCACCACCCTCTCTCTCACTTTTTTTGTTTCCCCCTTTATGTATATGTGTTTGCGGTTTAATTATCAAAAAAAAAAATAATAATATAAAATAAATTATTTCTTGTTTCTATAGTAAATTAATTAATTAAGTAAATAAGTAGTAAATATCTTTATCATTAAATTCTGATAAAATTATAATAAATGATTAATGAATAAATGATTCCATAGTAAATAATAGAATAATTGACTAATTTACCTAATTCTCCCCATCCTCCTTTCTTCCCCTCTTTCCTTCTCTACCTCTCTCTCCCTTTTTCCTTTCTCT